CATTTAGAGTATTAAAAAGTTGGTCTAATCATAATACATGAGGAAATCCATATTCAGCAGTACCTAAACGGCACAGAGTTAAAAAGTTTTCTTTCATAGCCAAAAAGCTAATGTAAAATAAACCTGACCAAGATCTTTTCAGGATGTGGCAGGACACAAGAGGTATTAAAAAAAAAAACACACACAAAACAAACACAACCAGGCGCGGTGCCTCACGCCTGTAATCCCAGCACTTTGGGAGGCTGAGGAGGGAGGATCACAAGGGCAGGAGTTTGAGGCAAGCCTGGCCAATGTGGTGACATTGGTCTCTACTAGAAATACAAAAATTAGCTGGGTGTGGTGGCAGGCTTCTATAGTCCCAGCTACTCGGGAGGCTGAGGCAGGAGAATTGCTTGAATCTGGGAGTCGGAGGTTGCAGTGAGCCGAGATCACACCACTGCACTCCAGCCTGGGCGACACAGCGAGACTTCGCCTCAAACAAAACAAAACAAAACAAAACAAACACACAAAAAAACTCTTCCCTCAATTTATAACACGCTAAGCACAAAAAAGAACAAAAATTTAAAAATACTTTATCTAATTGAGGGGAACTGGAAGACAGAAGCAGCCACCATGTTAGATTCTATGGTATGTACATATTTTATGAATTAATACTGAATGTTGATGATGATTAGAATCAATCAAAAAAAAAGGTAGAATATTTAAACATGCCAATAACTGTGGAATGAACCAAAAAATGTGTTAAAAAGATCTACCCCGCAAGAAGGCCCTAGGCTCATATGATCTTACCAGTGAGTTCTAACTTACAGAACAGATCGTTCCTATGCTAACACATTGAAGTATTAAAAAAACAGGAAAGCTCTTAAACTCATTTACCAAAGCTAACATAACCCTAATTGCAAACTTTAGGTAAAGACAGCACAAAAAAGAAAAACATACACCAAATTCATTTAATACAGAACGCAGAAAGCCCTAATAAAATGCTAATGAGTTAAAAAGCAAGCATTTGAATTTACAAAATAAAAATCTACTAAGAAAAGTATTTTAAGTAAATAGTGGGAAAATTTCTATAACTCTGGGTTAGAGTAGATCTTTTCATACGGAAAAAAAAAAAATCCAAACAGTAGGAAAAGGAACATACTGTTTTAAAACCTGTTTAAGAAAAAAGGTACTCTAAATTAATTCAAATAGAAAGGGTAGACTGGGAGAAAATATAGGACACATGTCCATAAAGAGGGAAAGATGTAAGAAATGAGAGTACATCTATACCATAGAATACTGTGTGTACATGTGTGAGTGTGTGTACATGTGTGTGTATGCAGACAGCTAGTAAAGATAATGTGATATTGTCTAAACTTTAAGAAAGCCCACAATAGATTTCTGAGTGATATAAGTTACAAAATATTATGAACAGTAAAATCTACATTAAAAAAATTTTAAGTCTCTGTATATGTGCATTGTTATAAACAAAAAGAAAAAAACAAGATACACAGCACTAAGAATGGTTACAACAGGGCAGTGGCAGAGACTGTCATTGTTAGTTTTAGACACTTCTATAATACTGAATACAACTGCATTTTGTATATATTACTTTCATGTTTTATATGAAAAAATTTTTAAGGTGACATATTATCAGCTGGAGTTGTCCAAATGCTTGTACCTTTACCAAAAACATGCATTAATTAGAAACAACTTGATGTATGTTTCCATAGGGTTACACACATATATAAACGCAATCACAGGTGAAAATGTAGGCAAGCTTCAGAAATTTTATAAACATATACACACACTAAAGAGATAAAAAGGTAGAAAGAGAGTTTTGTGATAGTAATTATTAGGTAAAGCCAAATGAAACTGTTAATTTTGTTACTCTAAAATGGAACTGACAATTTCTAACAAATGAGTTTAAAAAATTATATTAGCAAATAAAAGTCCTTGACACAGACATGGTACTCTCATTTTTCATCTCCTACTATATGTGGGCCAGAACTGGACACATAAGATAAGCTTCGTGATAATACTAACAACAATAACAGCTAAATTCCGAGCATTTACTATCAACCAGATACTACTTTAAAAGCGTAACATTGATAGAATGTTTTTAAAGGTCACAATGACTCAATAAAATAAATAGTTATTTAACACCTTGGGAAACTGAGATACAAAGATTGAATAATTTGCCCAAAATCAAACCTACAAAGCAGTCGGCCAAGGCAGTCTGGCTGCTAATATCAACCTATAAACTACTTCCTTCCTAATGTACATTCCAGCTATTCTTGTGTTTTTCCAGCAAAAAAAAAAAAAAAAAAAAAGCAGGAAAGGGAGTATCAGGATAGTAAGGAGAATGGTTAGTGAAATAGAAATACTGTAGTAATTATTTTTAACATCTGACAAAGAGCACAAGTTTACGTTATGAGTAAAACATCAAACTCGACTCAAAAATCTCCAAAGCTACTTGAAAATTTTGACCTCAGATTGACTGAAGTTTATTAACTACAGTATTTATTGAGATTATGCACGGAGAGTTGCAATATAACATAACTTACTTAAGACAATATTCTGTCCCTCTTTCACAAACTTGATTCTTGCCCATATTTTCTTGCTGTACTATCAAAATCATAGAGCAAACCAAAAAAGAAAAATATATGAAATACAGAAAATACACAAAGGAATAGATGCAAAGGGAATCACCAGCATGATGGTGAAAGGAGATGTCAGGTTACTAGTCATGGATCAGGAGAAAAGAAAAACCAATAGAGATTAGGGCAGGTCATAAAGCTCCAGAATAGATGTCCTAGGAAAATAAAATTGATAAAGGCAGAATGAGAAGAGATTTAAACAAGCAGTGGACAGCTTTAAACTAAATCAGTAATGCACATAAAAAACGAAGCAAACCAAAAAACAAAACAACGAAGTTTAAGGAAAACGAAAGTTGAGGGAAAAATGGAAAGTAGTAATATTTATAATACAGTTTAATCATATATAGCATATATAGTAATACTACAAATGCAGAATTCTGATATAATCGAAATTAAAAGATTTTACACGTGTGTGTGTGTGTGTATGGGGGATGGGAACTGTGTCTCTCAGTGTATGTATGTGAAGCAGGAAAAGAAGGAGAGCTCATCATTCATATTCTATAGAAGCAAATTCAACAGGTAATGTGTAACTGTGAATAAAAAACCCAAGCATTCTATGTAAAGATATGAATGAATGTCAAACAGATTAAATAACTGAAAGTCATTATCCACTGGGGGCTTAGTAACTGTTGTAATATATACAGTTAGGTGATTCTTCATATGCAGATATTAATTTAATAAAAATGAGATTTCCAATTCAACATAAAAAGACCCAACCTAGTCAGAAATGACAATGGCACTGTAAATCATAAATAACTTTTCCACAAGAAATAAAAACTTTAGAGGACATATATTCAGTGTTTTTTTAAGAAAAGAAAATGTGCAGCCGGGCGCGGTGGCTCAAGCCTGTAATCCCAGCACTTTGGGAGGCTGAGACGGGCGGATCACAAGGTCAGGAGATCGAGACCATCCTGGCTAACACGGTGAAACCCCATCTCTACTAAAAAATACAAAAAGCTAGCCGGGCGAGGTGGCGGGCGCCTGTAGTCCCAGCTACTCGGGAGGCTGAGGCAGGAGAATGGCGTGAACCCGGGAGGCGGAGCTTGCAGTGAGCTGAGATCCGGCCGCTGCACTCCAGCCCGGGTGACAGAGCGAGACTCCGTCTCAAAAAAAAAAAAAAAAAAAAGAAAAGAAAAGAAAATGTACACTATCTGGGCCTAAGAATGAATTTCTAATTGTAAAAATTAAGAAGCCAGTAAGAAAACAGGAAACTATAAAAAATGTATTAAAACAGGAAACTATACAAAATGTATTTTTCTTCTTTTTTTAGAAGTGGATTTTCAACCTTTCTTATGGGAAATAATAGGCTGATCAACTTGTCCTGGGACCAGTTTGCTTAGAACTTTCCCAGTTTAGCACTTTAAATCCTATAGTCCAGGAAATCCCTCAGTCCTGGGCATATGAGGAGAGTTAGTTACCTTAATCCTAACAAATCCAAAAATGCTTATTGATATGTCTACTACTGTGTACAAGGCTTTTGTTTTGCACTGTATACTGAAACAGTGAAAAAAGAACCAGTTTTTGAAAGATCAAGTTGGATGATGCCAAAATACAGAAAATGAAAAATTTTAATTTTTAATATCAAAAAGAAATGCATAGTTTACTTGTAGCAAATTGTACCTCAAAAAAACCCTGCTTTTTAAAACCACTAAGAAGGGTTTGAAAAGAGTGGAAAAAAAAAACATGAAGATTTTTGGTCAACATAAATAAAATGACAAAATATACGTGGTATTTTCATCTTTCAAATCTGTAAAAGCAAAAAAATTGTCATCAAAACATTGTAAAGCTCTGATATTAGAGAGAAAAAGATGTGGGTAAATCATAGACTAGTGTGCAGCTTGATGTTCTTGCATGTCTTGAACTGACTAGGTTATCAAAAATTAATTATGGGGAAACATAAAAATAATATAATTAAATCATTTTATAAACACAAAAAGCAATTTAGTACCTAATGGTAATAAAATTAAAGAATATTATGATATTGACTAATAATATGAACAATGAAGATAAAATGAACTATTACCAGAGGCAATTTACTCAGTTCTTATTATTGTTCATCAATGTCTTCATTCCCTTCAAATAAAAAATACAATTCAAATTTCTGCTGACAAATCAAAAGGACACTATTAGAGTGACTCAAATAAAAAGATTTTTTTTCTTGAATTACCTGGATTAAGAGAAAAAGAATCAGTATTAGGTTAATGAATACATAAAAGAAAACCCTAGGACATCTGGTGGCCATAGCTAAGATAGGAAAAGAGAAATTATACAGAAAACCAAACTGAATTCAAAGAAATAAAATATTTTAAGAAGTTTAATTTTGAAAAAGAAAAGAAACGAAAAGGAAAATGTTCATTGTACCTTAAAGAACCCTGCTTCAGGGCCACACCTGTCATATACACTCCTGGATTTACCTATCGCCATGATAATACCTTGCATGTTCGGTGTCATCATGATCTGCCACAGAAGATAGTTAACATTAAAAAAAAGTTTTTAAACTAAAATAATGTACTTACATGCAAGCTGAAACTCCTTTGTTTTCCATGTTTATAAATCAAATGTTGCATTTTTAAGACCAAATTTAATCCAACACACATGTAAGCACCTTTTAAGATCATCCATACAGGGCACAGCTGGCTCACACGGTGCCTTTGTGCAAACTGCAAAAAGGCATCCTCTCTGAATTGGAGAATTTGAAAAAGGCACCCTGGTTCTAGACAAACAAATTTTAAAATGTGCTATCCTCTGAGTGAACTATTTAGAAAAAGCAACATCCTTTTTTATCAATTAAAAAAGGTACCTCTTCCTCAAGCCTCAGAGAGCTCAGCATGAACTCAATTTGCTTCCCACTTCTGCCCCTTGTCTAGTCATTCTTGCAGACTGTACAACCTGCACATCCCTGAGCAGCAGCCCTGTATCCACAACTCTCATTTTTAAAAGTTCCAATGCACATGCACTGTTAAACTGTCACTGCAATAAATTTTAAAAAACAATGACAAAAGACACAACTCTGTCAATAGCATAAGCACTTGCACAAAAGATAGTGTTAAATGATTAATCACAATTCAACTTTTTTAAACGAAAGAAGGCACATCCTAAAACAAGTACGTAACTGCTTGATCAATAAATTGATAGGTTTATTAAAAACATGCCAGGTTCCATAATTTTCAAGAGCTAGCATGTTTATAAAATAGTTAACTGGAACAATGTAGAGTCATTAAGTACTAAATACTTAAGCATTATTTTTTTTTGTTTTCATAATAGATTATTTTTAGCTGTTTACATTTTAAAATAACTGCAAAGTGAAATTACTCAAGGCCCTATGAAGCTATCTTATAGCGATCAAGAGACTGCATCCATTACCTCTGATTCACTGAACCTATTACTCATTGTATTTACTTTGGATTATACACTGAGAATTGCAATATATCTAACATCTGCTTGAGAATACTCTCTGACCAGTTTATCTCACAAATCTGCTTATCCTCGTTATGCCTGTGATTTCCTACGCTGGTACAGTAATATGTCTTTATGACACTTCTGACTTTGGTGATTAACTCTGGCACGAAAGTAACACTGGAGTAAGTCAGAAAAAAAGTTACGTGAAAAAAACTAATATAAAAGCAATTCTTATCCAAACCCATAAAAACTAGAATCCAACAAGCGTTTTACCAAATCACACCCCTCCCCCACTTCCCAGTAGTTATGGCCTTCTCTGTGTTCCTGTTCAAAAACAGCTTTAGTGGCCGTTCCTCAAAAAGAGTAATATTAAGAGTCTCAAGAGAAAAGTGGAAAAGGGGAGAAAATAATCTGATAGAATAAGACAATAGATCATTTTCATCTGGATTCCAAAGAACTAAATCATGAGAAACAAAAATGCCTCCATACTGTTGGAAAACTAAGTAAATGAGAATTGACAGTGAAGAGATAAGAATAAAGATGGAGGTCCTACTAACAGTAGACACTCAGTAATGCTGATGAGTTATTCCACTCACAGTCACATGGAGAGGCTGTAGTAGCAAAAATATCAATTATGCATCCTGTAATCATGCTGTGGGATTTTCCGGCAGGAGCTAGCGGGCAAAGTATTATAATAAGTAATTCCAGTAAAACAGGAATGGAATATAAAAAATTATTTTTAAATCCAAAAAAATTTTGTACTAATTAAACAAATCTTACTGTAATCTGCGAACCTGAAAGTAAACTGGTACTATTTCTGCATAAAAGAATTAACTCCAGAAATAGAAAATTCTTTTGACAATTCCATACGTTTTCTACTTAAATTTTCATTTGAAATTCAAAGTTCTGTTAATAATTGGTAAAGTAATTTTGGACTATGAGGGGGCAAAGCTGTATGTTATGTAGCAACAGACATTAAGTATGAGGGTACAGGCATGCCCAAAGTATTTGTATTAAATAGCAAAAGTTAAGTAGCAATGGTGCAGAGGGCTGTAAAATGTACCTCGTCATCATAACCCCCCTCCTTTGATTCAATCATAAATTTCCCTACATGAGGGATCGCCACCTCTACAACTCGCTGATTAGAAAGTGGTTGGCTTGTAGTATTTTCAGGTTTCTGCAGAAGGAAATCATTAATATAAACATTAGAAAAGAGAACAGTGGAGAACAATGGCATCTTTGCACAACGGTGTAACCTGCACATCCCTAAGCAGCAGCCCCGTACCCATATGACTTATTTTTAAAAGTTCCAATGCACATGCACTATTAAACTGTTTAAGTGCATACTCTTAAATCTTTTAAAAATACCTGCATTTACTTGGTAGGTATCAAATGAAACCACTTAAAACTGAACATCAGAAGCAAATGCATTCATCAAGTAGTAACACAAAATCTACAGTTTTCCCTTTACATCCTCAAACTGGGTATTACCAATATCATTGCATTTTTCCCTGAAAGTATTTAGAACTTTTAAGTACTTAAGATAAAAAATAGTGGAGTTGTATTTCTATCATTGTCTGTATAGCTGACAATTTTTTAAAAAGTCTAATAGCTCCCAAAAACCTTTCTTGATATCTCAACCAAAATAAGATATGACCTCCTCTAAACTCATCAGAATTTGTTGGGTTTTTCCCCTTATAATTTTATCCTTCTATTCTTTTCGGTAATCAATTGCATATCCAGTTAATACCCATATTCTATTTTAACTAATTACATACGGCCTATGAGACTACAGTATATTTATATCTTAAGTGTTCAACACACACTTGCTGAAAATAAGAAAAAGCTGTTGGAAGCTGATACCCATTTTAAACAACTCAATCAGATTTATTCCTTTTTTTTCTTTTTATTGTTAACAAATTCTATGCATTTCAGTAATCTACCCTAATACAGAAGTCAGTGTAAAATTCAGAAAATTTCATTCAAAACGTTATGACACTAATAGGATTCATTCAAAATAACATACAGATTTTTACATACTTATTTATCTTATTCAACATATTTATAACTAGCATATCCACTATTTACCTATTAAAAAAGCCAAAAGTACTGAAGGTGCTTGAAAGCAACTTAAGTAACTGAATTGCATAAGTTTTCATAAAGATAAACTTTTGTTTTGATATTACAAAAAACATTTTCATAACAGCAATTAAAAAGGTTTTATTTCCGTTAGAAATATACGTAAATTTTAGTAATGTGAACATTTTCTGGCTTCCTGGAAGCATGTATAGAAAAAGAGTTTAATTGAACAATAAAACAAAACCAATAGCTGCAACTGGTACTGCCCCTTTTAAAATAAATGCTATTTTTGGCATGGCGTGGTAGCTTATACCTATAATCCCAGAAGTTTGGGAAGCCAAGATGGGCGAATCACTGTAGGTCAGTAGTTGGAGACCAGCCTGGCCAACACGGTGAAATCTGTTGCTACTAAATATACAAAGATTAGCCAGGCATGGTGGCATATGCTTGTAATCCCAGCTACTTGGGAAGCTGAGGCACGAGAATTGCTTGAACCTGGGAGGCGCAGGTTGCAGTGAGCTGAGACTGCACCACTGCACTCCAGCCTGGGTTACAGAGTAAGACCCTGTCTTAAAATATATATATACACATATATGTGTCTCCTTAATTTATCAAAATCGACAACTTTTCAATGGGAAATGATCAGCCTAAACAGGTATCATGATCATGAGAGATAATATGCAGCCAACACCTGGTAACAGCTGTTCTCCAAAATGACAGCTATTATGAGTCATTATACTATTTTGTTGTGCTACTTTAAATTGCTTATATTTGAATAATTTTAACCTAATACTACTATCACACACATTCTACAGAGATGTGCTTGGTCCATGACATTTAATTAAGGATTTTTAATCTTTCTAGCATATAAGAGAAGAACTGCAGTAGGTCTCTGTACACAAGAGCAAAATATAAACAGGTAGATTCAGAAATCTGTTTGGAGTTTGTGGTGATGATTTCTCACTAGCAAACCAATCCAAAACAATTCTATCTTAGGGAAAGAAAATATAAATTTAAGGCAAATGGTTATTACTTAGACTATTAATCGTTACAAAACAGATTCCCTTTGGGGGAAAAATATTGCACTTAGGGAATATAAATGTTTTATAAACCTTTTCAGTTACTATTGAAGAGTTTCAACAGCAAAATGCTGATTAAATACATGGGTAAAAGCTGAAAAGGGGAAGAAACTTTGCCACATATAATAATCCTGTAGTATCATTCATCAAATCTAGATATCCCAAAGTACTATAAAAATTTTTCATGTAAAGAATTTAAGGGCTCACTAAAGTAAAATACATGTTTACTTATCTTTTTCTATTATTTTCAGGTCTTATATGAATACATTAACAAAGGCTAAACTTGAAAAGAGTTAAAAATAAGTTTCTCAGTTAGTATGTTGCAAAAATAATTAAAATACAAAGATTTTTATGAATTGCCTGAAATTTATTAATTATATGACTTTTTAAAAAGTGGTCTCATAAGAAGGATGGCAAAAAAGCTATATAAGTCCATGGCCACATTAATGTGCCTTTACCTTTTAACCTAGTAATTCAACCATGGAAAATCTATTCTAAGGAAATAACCTGAAATAAGAAAAAGTTTTCATTTCTAGCAGCCTATTTATAATGTAAAAATAGAAACAAATATGCAATGGGGGAGGAGATACATAAACAAGATGTTAATTATTCAATGGAATAATAGTCACTAAATGTTTTTACTGAGTTTATAACATGGGGAAATGGTTATAAAGGGCAAGTGATTAAAAGAAAGCAAGACAAAATTTTGTATGCAACTCAACTATAAAAATAAATCCCAAATCTACATATTAAAATAAGAGTGAAAAAAATACCAACATATTTACAATAATTAACTTTGAGTAGTGAGTGGGACTATGCATGACTTTTTCTCAGGGTCTACTTTTCTCTATTTTGAAAATATCCTGAAGTATTCCATTTAAAAGTAAAGACATTTTTCTAAAAAGCAGGGTACCTAAACATTTGAAGACTTTCTCTAATTTCCATGATTCTATGCTTTCCAGGAAATTTTTCTTATACTAAGGTTGATTTTAATATATTGCATATTTGAAAGGTGGTTAGGACTGAAGTAACAGACGGAAACCAACAGTTACTCAGTGCCCACTACATACCATGCCAAGCACTTACAAATAATGCTCTTGACTAATCCTACAATTACCTTCATTTTATGGAAAAGAAAACTGAGGTCTATCTGGAGAAATTAAGCAATTTATTCAAGGTTGCATTCATAATAAATAAAACTAATATTCCAAAATCCAGAATGTTTAATCCCAGTCTGAAGATACTTTTCACCTGTGCAATTTAGCTTCTAGTGTATGCTAAGTTTAAATGAAAAAACCCCCTATGAAGTAGTTACCATGATGCTAAGCAACTGACTGTAAAATCAAGCCAGTTAATGAATTCTTAGACTTGCTTCAGGATTTACATACACGACGGGGCTAACTGTGGATGCCACTCCAGAAAACAATTAAATGAATAGACAAATAGCATATTTGTCGATCATACAGTCCCCCTGTCATGCTCCTTTCTGAAGTAAAGATAAGGCAGTAGGTTGCTACCTTATAAGACGAGATCCATATTATGCTAAGCTGAGCAATCAAAATTTAGGTGACTTCTGCAAATTTAAATTCCATATGATTTTCCAAACTTAAAATCAGGATTCTACATTAAGCTAAGTAATGCTTTTGGTTTTCTAATACCAGCTTAAAAAGTGACACTTATTAATCATAATTTAGGCTTTAACAAATAAAAGTTCTAATTAGCAGAGGCCTTGCAAATGCAGTTTTTATCAGACAAAACTATTTCCCCTTGTACCTACTACTGTTTTTCCTCCTTCCCTAGGTTTTCCTCTTACCATTACCCAAGAAGCAGACATCCCAAATCTACTAAACAAAGCATTTTCCAGGAAAAGCTTTAGAGTTAGTGATGTTCCTATCAAATTCATTTAAAGCTTCTAAGGCATTTGCAAAATTTGGAATCATCAAATAATTATTTAAATTAATACATTTTTAATAAGATGATATATTAATACATTTTCAAAATTGTTCAAACAAAAAATAATTTTTATTGTTATTTAGTTCATCAAAACAAAATCAACAGAGTAACATATCTCTTGAACATTCTGGCTAAAGGAAGTCTTATTATACATTTAAGGCCTCATTGCAATTAGCAGGTTATTGCTGGCATTGAATTCACTTACTAAGCAGAAAATTATGTGCTGTAAAATTATGGTATGTCGTACTCTTTTTAGTTGTCAAGGGGAATCTTCAAATATTAAAAGGAGCTACTATAAAATCTGCATTAGAGCTGCTTATGCTCACTAACAAAAGATAAATGACTACAGGAAGTGAAAGATTTAGTAGTAACAAATTCTTGAAATAGCTCCTCTGAGAATGTCATATGCACTGATAACATAGTATAACACCAACATGCTCAATTTACTGTTATAAAAAGATGCATTTGAAAACTACCAGAGTAGGCTAATGACGTTTTTGCACAGGACGTTCCTGAAATATTCATAAACAGTTTTGCAACATCATACTTATCCTTCTAATAATACTGTAACCTACAGCATCTAGTAGTTTTATTGTTAAACACATTTCATGAAATCATGATAATTACATCTTAAATTCCCAACTATTCCAATGTAATCAGATTACGGATGGAGGAATGGGTGAGAGACAGGAGAAATACTGCTATATTTTACACTTCTCTTTTTAAGTTCCAAATCAAATGGTCAATTTAATCTGTGATTATGATTCATTAGACTTCTATAGTAGAAAGACAGAAACTGAAGAGAAAAGTGTCTTTACAATTACAGCTGAGGAAATCACAGCCTGGGCATTAGATGACTTGCCCATGGTCACTGATCATGCCCATGGCAGAGCCATTACTGGGCCCTGTCTCTCCTGACTCCCAGACAGGTCCCTCTCCACTATACTGGGGGAAATGTCGTGACCATGGCTATGTTCAGAGAGCCAAAAGAAAAGTTCTTACCGACTGCAAAACTGTTTCAGGACTTTTATCTTCATGCTCATGTGATGCCTTGGTAATTATTCGAATAGTTTCTTCTTTCAAGTGCTTTGAGAAATCACTTCTTGATGGCTGCTCTAGATATTCTGGGTCTCCTGCTGCTTGTGCTTCATGAGAAAAGAATCAATTGTATATCTAATATAAACCACAGAGTCTATACTAAGATAAATCTTTTATTTATTTCTATATCTGAAATTATGTAAGAACCAATCTTAGTCTTCCATTCAAAGTAAAATATATCCTTCCACGTACAGCACTTCTTCCCAAAATTCATTAAAAAACAAAAACAAAAACCCAGAACTAAGAGTACTCCAATAATTATGAAAGAAAGCTGTCATTATAGTTTATGGTAAGGAATTCACAGTCGATTTTTCTGCTATGAGAAATACCAAAAGTCCATTTTGGAAAAATTGCCAGCATTTTACCAAAAGAATTTGGTTTGAACAGCAATCCTGGGCTGACTTTCCGTAGAATGCACAGGAGCTGTTTTTCTCTGCCACAGCGTCCTCCTTCATACTTCCTGGCAAAATCCTAACCCTGAATGAACCTAACCTTCCATCTTTTCTGCACTTGCCCCCAGTAGCTGAGTGTTGTCAGAGGAAAAGCAAACTGGTGCCGATAAAAATTCATGATGTCTCCTACCCATCTTTTGAGTTCCAGACTCATATATCCAACAATGTACAATGAACGTCCACTGGATGTTCCCTAGACTAGACAAGCCCCAAATCCTTACATGACCAGAAGGGTTTATCTCAGTGAGTCTCTGACAAAGCAGCCAGTCTCTGTCTCCATGAAGCTGACAGTCATCTGTGGAGAACACCACTAACCAAATAATCATACATATACATTTTGACAATATTATAACACTTTCTAGGGCTACAATGGCAGTGAAGAGATATAAGCAATCTGGATTGTGACCTACACTGACCTATTAAGCTGAATAATGAATGGGTTGTTTTGCTACGTGGAAGAATGAAGAGTCCATGCAGTGAGCATGGACTAGATTCAAAAAAGATAATAATATGACTGGACTACAGTACGAGAGTGGAGAAATGGCAAGAGATGATGCAGGTAGGGACAAAAGCACTAACAGACTTTAGATCAGGCAATTGGAAGTATTTTTTAAACATAATGGCAACACAAGTTTTTAAAAAATTATTCTGGGGATACTGTGAAGAATGAATTAGAGAGGAAAGTAAAACTAGAGATCAGTGAAGGTAATAGAAGGCAGTAGAGCAACATGAAAAAGAAAGAAATGTGCCTTCTGATTAACAGAAAGAGCAACAGAGGGACACAAAATTGGCTAGAATCAAAACATATTTTGGACACAAAGGTGTGGAGACTGCACATGAACATACCAAGTTTTTGACATGAGTTAACTGAGATCATGGAGGTAAAACTATGTGATAAGGAAAACCAGAGGTGAGGATGCCTATAATGTGTACAAAAAGGAAGGAGAGAAGTTAAAAGAAGTTTAATGTCCTCATTAAATCATTTCCTGATTTTGAACTGGAATAGCCTTTCAACGCCCATGAGTAATCGACAAAGAAAACCTTTGGCTACCATCAGCTTAGCAATACTTCTGCTTCCGGAAGAATTCATGACAGGTGACTCATGCCAGCTGCTTTAGGGCTGGGAGAGAAACTCCTTGTTGATAAAATTTTTCCTTGTGTTTGGCACTCTTCCTCTCTTCACCACAGTAGATAACGTCAACGGTTAATAACTGGATGTGAACTTAAAGCAATAAATCCAATTGGTCTGACATTGGTCTAATGACCCACTGAAACCTAGAATCTTTGTAAAATTGGTTCTTAGGGCCAAGAGTAATTTTATCTGATCAACACAAGTCAAATCCACCTTAGGTCACCAGGGCCAAGGTTTCCTTCCATAAAGGAGTTTGAGTGCAAAAACTTTATGAGTAACACTGAATGCTTCCGGCTAAACGTCATACAGAACAATTTTCTCTAGGGTTTGCCCTATATATACACCTCCCAGGGAACTTACGCAAGTGGTTTTGTTGTCATGGTAGTTGAACCTACAATAGTTTGACACCCTGGGAGACTGGAAACAAAAAATTCAAATTGCATTCCCAACATGTTTATTGAACCTCTGCCATTTTCAGTACAATATTAGGTATTACAATTGTAAAAAACAAAAAAGAGTACATCACTAATTTTAAGGAACTCTCAGTGAAATCTGATAAATATACATTCTATTATAATACAATGTGCTAAATGCAATAAAAGTTACGCACAAGGTTTTATAAAAGCACTGTGGACCCAATACACATACTTGAGATAATGCTGCCTGTTAAGAAACACTTTCCAGAAGAGGTGCTAACTTAGGTGGGTTTTGAAGAATTTGTAGAGGATTATCTTGGAGAAAAGAATAGAAAAGATTCCAGGCAGAAGGAACAGCACACTGTAAGGTCTGATCAAAGATTCATAAAATCCCTGCTATACATGAGACTCTACATTGGAAGGCAAGACAAAATGTAAGTACAATAGAGAAGAACATAATACATTTGGTAGTAAGAAAAGGTTGGAATTAAGAGGAAAAAGATAACAGCTGCTACAGAAGTGCTCTCAGAGAAATTCACAAAGACTCTGGGATATGAGGAAGATCTTAAAGAATATGCAAAAATTCATGAACAATGACGATAAAAGAACATTTTTAAGATAAAGGATACTTCATGAACATGCCATAATGACAGGAAAATTTCCTACATGCAAGAAAAATGAGGAGTAATCTGGTGTAGATGAAACACAGGCTACTCACAGGGAAGTGGTCTCGGAAGAATTATAAGGGAATCAGATTATAAAATAAAGTTCGTATAAAAAAATCGTCAAAGAAGACAAAAAAGAGGTTTTGTCTTCATTTTATCAAACCAAAGAATGAAAATGTTTACTAGAACAAACAAGAAAAATGTGGAAAATTAAAAACTCTTTGCATTACTCAGAGATAAGCACTATTAATAATTCTGATACATTCTTTCCAGGCTTTACCTACCTACCCATATTTTTAAACAAAAAGAATTACTCTCTATTCAACATAACATGTACTGGTTATATTGTGTTGCTCTGTATGGAAGGCTCACGAAACTAACACCCTACCATACACTTTAGTAATTTCTATTTCTTTGTTAGGAACAACAGCAGAACAAGTTTGGCTTTTACTATATAATACAATTGTTGTTCATCCTCTAACCTTATTAAAAACCTCATCACTAGTGGCCTACAGCTATAAATTCTCTAAATGCCATATAGGACAATTTTCTCGAGGGTTTTCCCTAGGTATATACCTCCCAGGGAACTTAGATGAGCAGTGTTGTAGTCACGGTAGGTAAACCCACAATGGTTTGAAACCCTGGGAGACTGGAAACAAACAAACAAAAAATTAAATGCACTCATTTCACCATGAATGACCAGTTCTGTATGGAAGTGAATAATATCCTTATTCCTAAAGTCTTTCTCAAATCACTCACCTGTTCTACGGGTATTTCTCTAGGATTTTCAAATGACTGGCCTCCACAGAGTGACTTTCCGGCCATGCTTCTCCAGCTGTTACAGAAGACAACTCAACATTCTGAGGTAACTCTGAGCCTGCTCCTTTTGCCCATCTTCATGTTGAAATAGGGTATTGAGGGGGTTTGGGGGTGCTTTACTTATGCATATTTCCTGGTTATGTCTTCAGTATATTAAGAAGGTCAACTTTACGACCAATTGGCTTTCTATTAAAGAGTAAGGATCTGCTCTTAACTATAAAAATAAGACCAACATCTCTAATATCTTTCAGGAGTCTTTATTTTGTTGACTTACTAATAAGTCATACTTATTATGTTCACATTGAAGAAGATTTAAAGGGGACTGCTTGAGAGATATACAATCCATCCATTTCTAGACATGTTTTTAAAAGTCTACCATACCCTGTAAGGGCCTACAAAGAGCCACGCTTAGGTGGCTGCATAGAATCACTGGTGGAACTTCTGAAACTTCAGATTCCTGGGCCCCATTCCAAAGAAAATCTGAGGGGTGTGGGGGAGAGAGGTTTAGAAACCAGTCAAACCATACATTTATCCAGAACAAAGAGCTACATCCTCACCACATGTATTTGGCCTGCCTCCTTTTTGTGTGACTATTTTGTCTCTACTTTAAAATTGTGTGTTCTCCTAAACTGAGGATCACCCCTAGTAAATTCATGACTGGGAATCTCCATAGGGAATGAATTTATTAATAGAAAACTTTCAAGGAGCATCTACCACATGTCATTTATTATACTAGATGCTGGAGATATAAATAAGAACACCACCAGGCCTGACGTGGTGGCTCACGCCTGTAATCCTAGCACTTTGGGAGGCCAAGGTGGAGGACTGCCTGAGCTCAGGAGTTTGAGTTTCAGGCCACAGCCTGGTCAACATGGTGAAACCCTGTCTCTACTAAAATACAAAAAAATCAGCCCAGTGTGGTGGTGTATGCCACTAGTCTCAGCTACTCAGGAGGCTGAGGCACAAGAATTGCTTGAACCCGGGAGGCAGTGAGCTAAGATCGTGCCAGTGCACTTCAGCCTGGGCAACAAAGCAAAACTCTCAAAACAAAACAAAAGAATATCACCTAGTTCCCGCTTTCAAGAAACCTGAGAACAATGAAGATATTGTTCATTCCACCAGGTCTTACTCTCAGGATCCAACTGTACTCTCCTGGAACATCAGTTTATTTTTAACTTGCAGACAGTGTTTGTAAAGAAGTCCCGGAGCCAATTCTGCCTGCTGCCTCTAGACAAATTTACAAAACCTTATGCAATACATTTCATTCCAATCTTCACTAGTGTTTCCTTATTTTTTAAAAAAGTCTGAGTGTGCTATATTGTAAGGACTTCAGATACTTCTTGGATAAGACAAGAGTAACATAAGTAAAATAGTAACTCAGACAAAGCTCTTCTCTCCAGAATAATTTCTGTTTTATAAATACAGCCTAGGGTCATGCTGCTTAACCAGAAGTATACCTCAGAATTATCTGAAGATCTCTTTAAGATAGGATAGTATCAGATCCTTTCTCCAGAGATTCTGATTCCAGTATGTCTTACGTGGTCTTAGGTACGGTGTGCTGTTCATACTCAGAAAAAAATCCCCCTAGTAATTCTGATCCATACATTCATAGTAAAGAATGGTTGGCTACAAATCTAAACAAAAGTATTCAAGTAAGTTGGCCTTTGCAGTAAGCAGATCTAGGGAAGCAGCATGAAATGAACCAAAAAATACTTTCCCATCATTTATTATCTCAGTAGGGAAAGAATGGTGCTGGAGAACTGATATGCATGAATTTCTCGATCACATTTTAGCAGAAGAGGAACAAATACTAATTTGATTAATATAATATGAATTAGTACTCTTATTTGGAATATCAATCAGTAGAAACTGAATTTTATTAGGTCTTATGTTTCAGCTTTAATGAGAAGATTTTGCAAGGAGGAAAAAAATCATTCCGGTGAATTTTATAAACAAGATTTCCTTTTATTATTTCCACTAGTCACTCCTAACACCAGTGAACACCTGAGAGATTAAAATACAGGTTTGCTTTGAGATCCTGGAAGTATTATACCAAATTAAATTACTTACTTTGAAAACTATGAGAAGAATCAGAAGAGGATGGCATGGACATTAAAATAAAATTTCCCTATTAATAATAGGGAATAAACGGTTCTAATGAAACATTAGCCTTATTCAGTTTTGATATGTGAAACTATCCTGCAACAGAGAACAAATTTCTTAATATAATCTCAAAGATAATAGTAATAGAAACCAATCTTTTAAACAACAATCTCACTCTGTAAATTTATGGACTTGGCATGTGCTACTTCTACTAACTCAAACCAAGCACATATTTCCATCAAGTCTATAGAGGATACAATGTTTCCTACAGAAGTAGTATTACCACTGCTTTCTAAAAAACTCATGCTGAAAGGTAATTACAAGAGTCATCTAGGAATAGGAATTGACCATTTTCATCTCTTTATCTTTTATTCTGGTTCCTCCCAGAAATACATCAACATTCTCTTCAAGTTTATTTTGCATGGTAAAAAGAGACATGAAAATATATGTCCAATACCTAGTACTGCATTTTTTAAAAATTACAAAACACCATGTAAAGTGTAGGTCAGATGTACTGATCGTGAAAATGGATGCAGTTATACACACATGGTCTTTTTACAGAGAAAGAAAAAAAGATGACAAATGTAAAATGAGGATGGGGCATGGCTAGTCCTTATCAGATAGGAGTATTAGTTGGGAATATGTATTAGTTTGACTAAGCAGAAATAAAATATGTTAACTCTGTAAATTTGGTGAGACTTACGAGAAACAGACAAGATGAAGGGAGAAGGATATCTAGAACTTAGTATCTGGTATCAGAATATACAGGTGAGCCAAGAATAAAACTAGAGCTTAACCAATGAATGGAGGATTCACCCGTATCAGGGAGCTTAGGTACAACAACTGCTTATACTACCTTATGCAGCCCCTTCCTCCCACTAATAACAAGAATAGTCACATGTGAATGGAATAAGTAAACGTTAAGGGAACAGTAACACAGTAGCTCCATCTTGGGGCAGGTTCTGAGGAGTGATTTGGAAAGAATACATACAGAATGCAAAGCATGAAATCACAAAGGGACAGAAATGCTTTAAAAATGAAAGGAACTGTAATATAGTTACTACACTGTGATTTGAGCTTAGATACCTCTTGATGTGTACTAAAAACTACATTGTTGTGGACCCACATAGCTTCACCTGCTCTACATGGTAGCCTTGTACATATGGGGGGAAAAGTGCAGTCCTACCTAATGGTAGAGTTCACCAGCCACTATAATAGTGGTATTCTCCATAGCATTGGAATATCAAAATGTTGCTGTAATACCATTATCCTTTTTAAAAATGCTGAATTATCTGCCTCTCAGGATCAAAATCGATGACAACTATTTGATCTACATGAAAATAAGTCATCTGGACAGATTTGTGCATGCCTGTATCAATCACAATACTACATTGTAGCACTGTAAAATAATCTTCTACTTAAGTAATAATTCCTTCTAAAGTTCAAACGATAATGCTGAAACCCAACCAGGTAATGCTGCAAGGAAATCTCTGTCTGTAAAAGATGAAATTAAACCAACAAAAGCTGGAACTGATTCCTTAAAAAACAAAACATACAGATCTTGGGGGGAAAAAAAGGTTATTCAATAACATTCACTAGCATTTATAAAAAGAGACAAATGAGTTTGAGGAAAATATATGGGCTTAATTTATCTGCTTCTCATTTCCTCAATTTGTACCCAGAAATAGCATTTTCCATACCAGAAAACATGTTGCCCTAAAACATATTTGCAACTCAGTGATAAGAGTAATCTTTTAAGAAAACCAAAAGACAACATATTTTCAATTTTACTAGAAACTATTTTCTTAATTCTCATACAGTGTTTACTCTGACTTATTTTATTGATTTCATCAGCTAATAGTTTATTTAAGAATAATGCTTTTAAATATTTATATGTTTATGCATTTATATCTTTGGTTTAGAGGTTACACTTATTTTTTACCTATGATATACTAAATAGTTTTGGTCAATTTTCTTTTAATCTTAACAATTCTGAAAAACATCAAACAGTTATTAATGGTAGTATTTTACGATTGCACAAAGTATATATGAATATACCGGTAGTATTATTTTGGTCAAATTGAATTGGTTTGGGTTTCTTGTAGATTTCACAGCTTTCTCGGCTACTTGCCAAGAAAATTCAAGCCCACCCAACATAGGCAGAGTAGGTAGAGGGAAAGTCAACGGAATCATCTCATTTATCTTGAAAAACATATAACTGTATACAGTGGTGTCTGGCAAAAAGGCAAACTAAACTGTTAACTGATAATCTGACTGATGGAATGTGAGATGATTTCTACTGATTTCCTCATACTTTAAGACAGCTAAACCTTTTTAATAATGAGCATATCTTATCATTATAACAATAACAATATTGATAATCAAACAAAGCTTAATAAAAATGGACAAACCTGTTGTCACAGAAGTCTCTGACTCTCTCAATTTCTGAGACGCTAAAAGCTTTTCCTGCAAAGCTTTCTGGGCAAGTTGTGCATCCCATTCTTCTAGTTCTTTTTCAAATCGTTGGTTGTCTTCCTCAACAAAATCTCTCAAATCCGGGGGTAATGTTTCTATACCAACAAGGGGCTGCCCAGTTTCTTTATTAAACTCTTCTGCAAATAATATTTCAAAAACTAGTATAAAATTAAGAATTAAAGGGAACATGCAACACTCAAAATAGATTGCATTTCAAATAGAATTTAAACTATGAATTATTACCAATTAGCCAATCAATACTACTTAAGAATTACTACTGTTTAGCAAATAATTATTACCTAAAACACTTTTTAAAATTCAAACAAATGCGCAGAAAAACAATGATAAAAATGTTTGATAATCCATCACAGGTAATGGTCTCACATTTTTTTTTTTATCTTAAGAGCAGAAATGAGAGAAAACACAAAGCCAAGTGTTTTGTTTTTTGTTTTTTTGAGATGGAGTCTCTCTCTGTCACTCAGGCTGGAGTGCAGTGACACAATCTTGGCTCACTGCAAGCTCCGCCTCCTGGGTTCAAACGATTCTCCTGCCTCAGCCTCCCGAGTAGCTGGGACTACAGGCACCCGCCCCACGCCCAGCTAAATTTTTGTATTTTTAGTAGAGGTGGGGTTTCACCGTGTTAGCCAGGATAGTCTCGAGTTCCTGACCTCATGATCCGCCCGCCTCGGCCTCCCAAAGTGCTGGGATTACAGGCGTGAGCCACCGTGCCTGGCCACTTTTTTTTCTCTGCTACTCTAACAGTGATGTAGTACTACTCTTGCCATTACTGGAAAATGCCAGATGTTTGATTACTTAAAAAGTAAAACTTTTCACAAATGTAACCAACTCACAACCATGTTAACCTTATTAGCTCAAAATAAAACTAAAATTGCTTGTCATATGAAGAAGTTAAGTAGACTTAAATATGCAATTATGAAAATTAGTTGACATAGAAGATCTTAAAACTAGAGTATTTAGAAGAATTACTCAACTTCTACTATACACACAGAAAAATAACTTCAGTTTTTCAGTCAGAAGTAGACTGCCTAGCTGATTCTGCTGAATGACTAAATATAAAAAGATTATTTTTATCAATATCAATAAACCTTTTATTGTTTTCTATATGCAAAGCATATATCAGAATATCAGAAATACAAAACTTGAGACCTAGAATGACACGGTCTCTGGCTTTGAGCAGAGGAGAGAGAAATGCGCACGGCAAGTCATCACACAATTCCAATACGCAACAGTCAATGCCCAGGAGACAGACGCTGGGAGAGCAGAAGGAGAGACACTTTCTGGCAGATCCAGTTTGCAGGGGAAATGACACCTGAACTGAATCTTGACAGATGCACAAGAATTAGGCAAAAGAATTACTGGCAAAAAATAAAACATGTAAGAACATGCAGACATAAATGTGTGAAATGGTTTGATATGAGCAGATACAGCAAGAAGTTCAGTAAAGTACATAAATTCAAAAGGAACACTGGTGATCAATGAAGGTGGGGAGATAATCAGAGGCCAAGAACAGAGGCTATATATGTTAGGCTAAGGAATTAAATTTTAAATATGAGTCAATTTGTGGAATAGTCACTAAAGCGTTTTTAGCGAGGACAAAAAAGGTCGTATTTACATTTAATAGTTGACTTGGAATACAAAATATATACCAATTCTTAGCTCTGCTGACGTTACTTTTCAATTCAGTCTTGTCAAAACCCAGTAGCATTTCCTAATCACATCCATCATCGCCTGAATTACACTTAACTAATCACACCACACACCAGAGTCACTTTTATGACTATTGAAAAAATATATACCACCCTATATACTCTTACCTTGTATTAAGAACTGTGCCTTATCATTTATGTACATTAAACAGTATGCACTGGCATTTCTATAACCACCAAAAGAGTCCCTCACTAGCTCTTCCCATGATGATTTTGTCACAGCAATATCATTGTACTTCATCCATCTGCTTTCACGATGATCAAAAATATATGCCCAGTAGTGCCCAGCATTAGCTTGGCCTTCATGAACTAAAACGGCATGTAATCGGTAAGGAACCTAAATGTGAAAAAAAGAAGAGTTAAACTGCAATTATGTAGTCTACTATATCACATTCCATGAAACCCATAAACAACCTGCTTGGAGGAAACCAAAAGAGCATTTCTTTTTCTTTTTTTCTTTTTTTTTTTTTAATGAGAGAGAACTGGCTGGGATTAAAATTTTGAAAAAACTAAACTTTAAAACTATAAAACTTTAAAAAGACAAAATCTGAATAAGCTAAAGATATGTAAAGCTGACAGGTATGCAGATTAAAAAGATGATTTTTGAAAAACTAAAAATGTATTTATTGTGTATGTACTCCTTGGCCTAATTGTTTCTTTTGAATAAAAAGCTTAGAGTGGGCAGTTTTATATATAGTAAATGTGTCCAAATCTTCAGAATTCTAAATTGACGGTTAACAAAATAGATGATATAATATACACCAGAAGTTAAAATGTAACGGAGTCCTAAGGTTTCTTCCCAAATCTTAAAATCCTTTAACAACCACAGATTTCCTTCCATAAGACTTTTTAAAGATGCTATAGCCTTTTGAAAAATTTTGGTAGATTTTACTGTAAAATAATAAGGGTACACAACACATACAGTGTGAAAACACAACTGAATGGGGAAAACTTGTCATGAATTTTGTTATAAATTTGTTACAAAATTTCCCCCATTCAGATGAACCGTCACATTGTACATATTGCACACCCTTATTATTTTACAATAATAATTTTGATTTACCAAATTACAAAATTTTGATTTACTAATATTTTAAATCAAAACATGTAAAGAAAAATTAGATTAACATAATGTAAAGATAAATTAAAATATATGTAAATAATTTTGACAATGATTACTAGCTCAAAATTTCACTTACTTGTATCATAGATTTGTCAGAGTACATTAGTTCAATTGTTCGATGGATTCTGGATATGCTTTCCTGCAAATCTAAGGATATAAGGTGTCATTTAATGATGAACATCAAGTGTGCTTCTACTTATAAGATAAGGACTAATGGCTTTCTAACAAACACATTAGAGAAATAGGAACAATTTCCTAAAACTTCTCTTAAAAAACATTACTATTTGAAATCTGTAGAAAATGAATTATAATTATTCTTTTTTCTTTTTTTGAGACAGAGTCTTGCTCTGTCACACAGGCTGGAATGCAGTGACTCGATCTCGGTTAACTGCAAGCTCCAACTCCCAGGTTCATGCCATTCTCTTGCCTCAGCCTCCCGAGTAGATGGGACTACAGGCACCTGCCACCACACCCGGCTCATCTTTTGTATTTTTAGTAGAGACGGGGTTTCACCGTGTTCGCCAGGATGGTCTCAATCTCCTGACCTCGTGATCCAGCCGCCTCAGCCTCCCAAAGTCCTGGGATTACAGGCGTGAGATACTGCGCCCGGCTGAATTATAGTTATTCTTAATAAAAGGCACAGTAAAATTGCATAGTTAAAAAACAACACAAATATGATTTATCCAGAAAATGTGGAGAGCCAATAAAAGTGAATTTTGTTCAACTCTATAAAGGAGAGTTTCAATGAAAATGAAAGCTAAGCTTCCTTACATATTGCTATAACACAAGTAAACTTAAGAACAAAGTAAAAGATGTTCACCACATATCTTGCACACACACATAACTGAATAAAAATCGACTATAATCCCAGTGAAAATAAAATTATGGCACTCCCATGACAATTATTTCTACTTCTAGTAGAAAATAATCCTACAAAATTGTTCAGATAGGGATGTTCACAGTCATACTGTCCACAATAATTTTTAAAAATGAAATAAACTAAGTATCTGTCAATAAGGAAATGGTTACATTGAAACCACATCATATTGTGAAGCTGCTGAACCAATCAGGAAGAAACCTTGAAAAACTATTAAAAAAAATAAGCTAACTTTAGAGTGGGGAAAGACCTGTCTAAGTCTGTCAGAAAACCAGTAACCTCATAGGAAAAGGTAAGATCCTCCCTGCCTAAAAAATCTACATTATAAAAATAAAACAAAACCAACATAAAGAAAATCAAATGAAAAATTGGGAAAATAATATCTGCAGCAGATATGATATTATAGGCAAAGGGTTAATATCCACAATACATTAAACTTTCTATTAAGCAATAAGAAAAAGACAAATGGCTCAATATTTTTAAAATGGGCAAATGTCACAAACAAGAAATTTACAGAAAAATATAAATGTCCAACTTCACTCAAAGCTAAGGGAATGCAAATCAAAACACTAAAATACCATTTTCTCAACTATAAAAAACTACTAAAAAGTGTCCAGGGCTAGGGAGGATACTGGGAGACAGGCTCTCTCACACAGCAGGAAGGCAAACTGGTTTAATGTTTTGGAGGGACAACTTTAAAACGGTTGTTGAAATTGAAAATATACACACTCTGAACCAAAAATGGTGGACATAAGGAAACAACAGACCTTGGGGCTTACATTAGGGTGGAGGGTGGGAGGAGGGTGAAGATGGAAAACTACCTGTTAGGTACTATGCTTATTACCTGCATGATGAAATAATCTTACACCAAACCTCCAAGATGTGTAATTTACCTTTATAACAAACCTGCACATGTACCCCTGAACACAAAATAAAAGTTTTTAAAAAAGAATATATCTTACTTACATAAGTGTATAAATATGTATATCGAAGACCAGCACTATTTAGTAAATATCAATATGGGAATTAAATTAATTATATCATATCTGTGTCTTGGAATATTACACAATAGTTTACAAAATATTGCTAACTGCTAACATCAATAGGGATGAAAAAGAAAAAAAATATCCTGAGGAAAACCTTCTTTCCTGATCCATAGTATTACATATAAAAACTTTATCAGCTGGGCATGGTGGCTCATGCCTGTAATCCCAGCACTTTGGGAGGCTGAGGTGGGAGAATCACAAGGTCAAGAGATCAAGACCACCCTAGCCAACACGGTGAAACCCTCTCTCTACTAAAAATACAAAAATTGGTTGGGTGTGGTGGTACACGACTGTAGTCCTAGCTACTCGGGAGGCTAAGGCAGGAGAATCACTTGAACCCAGGAGGCAGAGGCTGCAGTGAGCCGAGTTTGTGCCACTGCACTCCAGCCTGGTGACAGAGGGAGACTGCGTCTCTAAAAAGCTCTCAAACTTAAAACGGACAAAAGAGAACTCATCATATTTCTCTTTCCTCCCCTGAGTGGGGAACCTCTTTGCCCACTGGTTTACCTTTTTGCCAAAATACATTCTATTTGGTTATTCATACCATTATGAACTAAGAGATTCATTTGATTCCTCCCTCTCTCACCTCTAGCCAATGACCCACATCTGTCAGTTGTCTCCAAAGAGTATTTTAAGTACATTCACTTCTTCCCTCCCTCAGTGCCACGACCTAGGTGTCAAAAGCTTCCTAGCTTCCACGCCTCTGAATGTAATCTTTTAGAAACAACCTGCCATGAGGAGTAGAAAATTACCCAACACCTAATACAGTACTTCATCAACATGTTTGTTAATACGTTCAAATATTTTCAAAAATTCCTTCTTATATGAAAAATACTAAGGAAAATCTTGACAGCTACTAATGCTATTAGTCACCATCATACCTTATGTATTTCTTACTAAATTAGGGCCGTTCTTTTTCAAATATTGTCTATAAAGAGTTAAGTTGGTCAAATAATATCCAACAATCAATATTGTTCAATATAATTCCAACCATGTCACATAAGTAGTTCATTTTTTTCATAAACCAATAAATTAGCATAAAATTGGGGAATAACAGGGAATTATATTTTCACATTTAAAGAAAAAAGTGTAATAATATCTACCATAATCCATTTTTTAAAAGTACACTATAACAACAGCAAAGTAGGAAAGAGAGAAGTTCAGAATAACTTATTCTGAAAAAAAGAAAAAACAGAATACAAAAGAATAAAAGAGTTCCTTCCAAGAAAGGACAGATGGCAACTTGACACACACACACACACACACACACACACACAGGCACACAAGCGCACATACGCCACACAGAGCACTGTCCTTATTTTTCTTATTTTGCTGCTCTGTTACAGACTATAATGGGATCATAGATATTTAGAATTCTGTTAGAGCTATTAAAAATTAAAATTCACATTTCTAATTGTTAAGCCTAAAGAAAATTTTTTTATCACTGGAACTCCCTGTGCAAACTTAGATTTAGTACCCAATTGATACGTACAAACATTGATGTCGTATGACATTTCTCCAATGGAGTAACTGTGAATACCAGTTTGATATAAATTTAGAGCAGTAAACTAGAAAATCAGGCCATCTGCTGTGTCATTAATCAGCTAAGCAATCCAGGGAAAATCTTTTGGTCCTTGTGAACCTGATACTGAGATTATAAAACTGGGGAGCCAGACTAGTTTATCTTACATAAAACCCTTTCTGGAAAAGAAAAATGACTGTAATCTTTAAATATAAAACCCAGACGTGATTTCCCTTCTCAATATTAACATTATACATATCCATCTGAGGTGACAGTAACCATGCTATGAGACACTTCTTACCTCTGGTGTCATTTTCTATTTCTGTCCTCCAGCGATGTAAACAACTTTCCAGCACAGAAAGTTCTTCCTCCGTAATGTGCCTTGGTGCCGGATGCATGGGCAAATCTGGAGGTATCCGGGACTGAGTAAATGGTTTGTGTATCACTGATCTCGATGAAATGGCAGCAACTGATGAAGGCGACGTGCTTGGCAGTTCTGAAGATGGGGCTCCCTGTTGTTCTGTTGTGCTGTATTAAAGCATAGAGTATTTGTTATTAACCTTTCAAGCTGAAGCTCTCAACTAAGATAGTGCCAAACCCACAGTATTAAATTGGCTTATAATCTAAAAGGAAAAATCTTAACAAAGAAATATGTGGATTGATCTAATATCCAAATGAGATTTTTAATACATAAGAACTAAATTATTATAAGATGAAGTTGTAGCTTTAGAGTAAAAACGGCTTAATCATATTTATTTTTAAAAAACAACAAAATCTTATGCATGATTATATTATTTTCCCTGGCTTATCAGCTTACATTACAGAAACAAATTCAAATTTGACAGTGCTATTTTTATGGATCATAAAATACTGAATTTTATATATGTACATACCAAAACATGCTAAAGTATAATTCTGAACTGAAAAAAAAGTGATTAAAAATTTAATCCATGACCATAAAATCCACTGAAATAACAAAAAAAACTCCCAGAGGACATACAATCTTCTAAGTGAATCTACTCTTAAGAGTTCACTAAAGTAAATCAAAGCATACATTTCATAAAAACCATCTTTAGAGGCAGCAGTTACATTATTATGTAATAAAGGTAACAACTGTCTCTTGCATCGAGATTACTTTTTACCTTGGTAACGTCTGTGATGGTATGGAACCACTAGGTGGGGAACTAGCATCAATATCGTCAACAGGAGAAGTGCAAACAGGTTTACTTGAGGCAAATTCCAATGCATACTGAAGAACATCTACCAAGGGGAATCGTTTGGGACCCGAACCATAGCTTAAGTATCTGTTAATCATAAAATGTACAATGCTTTTATTTCTATATACAGCATATTTGGGTTTTTATTATTATTATAAAACATGATATGATACTTCAATAAAACTTCCTCAGCAATAACATTCATTAGCTTTAAAATGAAGATGGTAAAACTGAATATACATTTAAGAAAAACATATTAAATATTCTCCAAAGACAGGAAACCAAGGCTGATTGGGACTGAATGTGAGCATATACTGTTATAATCTGTAAATGCTGTTCTAAATTGTAACTCAATAGGATGAAAACTGACATCTCCTGCGACTGTTTTTAGTTTGAGATCTGGCATCTGGTCTCATGAGCAAGACAGTGACAAGTACTATCCTCCTATCTTTTACCACTAATCATTTTTCAATATGATGATTCGTACATTTTAAGAATAAAAATCACTAAAATACGATATATTATTTGATATAAGAAGTTTTAGACTACTAATTTGAAAATTCCTAAAATACGGGAATACAGAGTAGATCGGGGTTTGCAAACTGAAATGACTTAAGTGACATTTCAGCCTTTAGATTTCTGTCTTGCCTGTAGAACATTTCTCAGTCTAGATTCTGACTTCTTTTAGAAATGATCCAAATCAATAAACAACAGTGAGGCCACACACACACGGCACCATCCATTGGTATTGGAATGGCATTCATTCCCTGTACACACAGATTGCTCTCTAGACTTCCAGCACATACCATTTTATACCTGACACAATTTCCTCCTTTATGAAGCTGCTGAGAAGGCCTTGTAGGCAGCTGAGTTTGCATCCAGTTTTAAGGAGAAAAACTCAGGTACCATTCATTATAATGAAAATCTCCAGAGTAATCTTTAGTTTCATGCAAAAAGAAAGGTCAAAACTATATTCATTTAACTTTATATCAATTTTCAGCAGTAGGAACCTTACCTGTTGACAATGAACTATTTAATTTTAACCACTAGAATAATTAAAGTCAACTACAGATTTTTACTTTCAAGCAAAACTCAAAACTATTCACACAATATTAACTACTCCTAAAATTATAAATCATTCAAAGCAAATTTGAAATGAATAATCTAGTCACCAAATACATGGTTTCTGATAATTATCTCCTAATTTCATAAAAGTTAAAATACCTTTCAAGCCTTTGTTGTAATACTGTGAGGTAATCTTTCAGTCTCTTGATCTCTTCCCTCTTAATTCTCGTTATTTCTCTGTTTCTGTGCATGTATCTATCAGAAAAAGGCAATCATTAGCATTTCTGAATATCATGAAAGTAGATGTAATATGGCCAGATGCCAGTATGCCCGGCCTAGCACTTTGGGAGGCCAACGTGGGAGGATCACCTGAGGTCAGGAGTTCAAGACCAGCCTGGCCAACATGGTGAAATCTCGTCTCTACTAAAATACAAAAATTAGCTAGGCTTGATGGCAGGTGCCTGTACTCCCAGCTACTCGGGAGGCTGAGACAGGAGAATCACTTGAACCCAGGAGATGATGGTTGCAGTGAGCCCAGATCGCATCACTGCACTCCAGCCTGGGTGACAGAGCAAGACTCCGTCTCAACAAAAAAGAACAACAAAAAAAGGAAAGACAGAAAGACAGACAAACAGAAAAAAACAAAAGAAAGACAGGAAGACAGAAAGATAGATAAAGTATTAAGTATAGACATCACCACGAAGCATCAATTCATTCAAAATTGTATAAGATATAAGGTAGATAATACAAAATGGTATTTTTTTAAATTCTGAATTTTAAGACTACAAAATTAATCATCTTTAAATTTCCTTATAACATTATTCCCAACAACTATACTTTTCTAATACAAAGTGACATTTACCTTGACAAATGGCTTTAGGTATATTATACAAAAGTAAAAATTAATTCTAAGAAAATTAGAATTTTCCTCTATACAACATTTTATCACTTACTAAACTGTTTCAAACTAAGTCATGCAGTATATCAAACCATACCTGTCCAAATATAAAACTTGGGGAAATTCTAATTTGTTGTGAATTTTTTCTGGTCTTCCCAATGCCTGATTAAATTCAAATCTTGACAATTCAAATGTTAACACAGGTGGTAATTCAGTAAACCAATGCTGAAAGGAAATAAAACAATAACAAAAACTTTAATACCACCTTTGTTTTCTTCATTGCAATCTTAGGCATAGGATGTGGGCACTGACATTTTTATATGTATCATCACAATGCTGACCTGACAAGTAATTGGGTACACAATTTAATTAAAACTCAACCTCTTTCTAAAAGTTTTCCACACCTCTTGAAAAGTCCAAGAGTGGATATAATACATGATGAGGAAAAAAAGAAATCTCACAACTATCCTTCGAAAATAATTCTTTGCATTAGAATTTCTAGCTCAAAGAAAAAGACACTGGTTAAAACCATGACTTAGTAGCTCAAGTCTTCTGTCTTCTTCAATATGTTGTTGAATGGTACTTATACTTAACCACAGCATCAAAATCCTGTGACAAAGTAACTTGTAAGAGGGAGTACTCAAAAAAAAATTTATATCATAAATCATCACAACTCTGATACTAAAAATGAAAAAATGGTGTTTTCCTGTTTTAACTTTAGCTCCTCTGCTGGATTTTATACTAATTTATGAAAAAGACATATCACTAACAAAAAGTTAGTACTTAAAGAGTAACTTATTTAAAATCTTTTAAAATAACTAGCGTTTAAAGAATTGAATGTCTCATTGCTATGAGCCAAATTATGTGAGTATAGCTATAATTTCCTTCCCCTAACTGCAGCCCCTAATCCATATATGTTTTAGTAACTGTTCAATTAAGCATGAAATTCAACATTTTTAAAAGAAAATTATTTTCATATACAACCTTAAGTTATACATAAGCATATGTATTTAAAGAGAAAGAAAAGGTAACAAACTGGTAAATCAACATATAACAGAAGTATAAAATAAGTATTTCTGAAGTGCTTATTATAAACTGTGCAATATGCAAAACTGCTGCATATTCTATTGTGTGATAATTTCAAGTGTCACAAAATGCCACCACACATCTGTCAATAAGTTAAGAATATACTAAATATAAATTTGAACATCCAAAAAAAGCATGATTGGCACACACCTGGCAAAGTGAATTTGACAAGGATCTGGAAAGTTGCTACTTTTCTCTAAAGCAAATAAAAGCAAATGGTATTCAATACTATTTCTCTTTCAAAATGATAATAATTACTTGAATTGAGGTTTCCTGAGCTGGATGGTTATCTTTCATTGAAAGCTAAGGTTTAAGGAATTTGTTTTATATGGATAATACCTGAAACGGATTAAATAAAGTTATGAAAAATATCAGAAACATCTCAAGTTTTAAAATTTGATGAGCAAAGTTTGCTTACTCATTTTGATCTCACATGTAACTGGCAAGAATTTTTGAATTAGTTCTAATCCACAGATAAAATTATTATTAAGAATTAAAACATTACCCCAGACATATCACAAAGAACACTTTTGATTCTTTAGGATAATATTCTCTGTTCCATTTTATGATACTCAAACAAGAAAGTAGATTTCAAGAACTATCACTTTCATATTTTATTGCAATACTTTAAATATTTAAATGTCACCATTAAAATTAGTTACATATTTTAATTCATGGAAATCTACAATGGCCACAAGAAATGAAATGACCCAAATTGGGGTATACTTTTCTGTAGACCATGAAAAGTCCAGGAAATATAAATAGCTTCCATACCTTACAAAAGGATGCTCAAAAATGTTATGTAATATGTCTCTGTTATGAATGCATTTTCCTCTATCAGCGATGGCAGGTTTTTCCTACTACAAGAGTGGAAGGATTTCACTTTCTCATTCTAAAGCTGATGGGGACAAGATGAGATAACCAGACATTCTGTAAATTCATGTTTTAAAATATTAATGGTATGTCTAGCTCTGCAATATTTGGATTGTAGTATAGCAGTACATAATTTGAATTTTAAATAATACAAAACAGAAATTTTTCTTTCAAAAAAATACTATTTCCATTCAACAAAAAACTATATCTACTTCTCTATAACCTAACTAGTATGCCATGCTTGTAAGACAGAGGTCATTCTCCATATTTCTAAACATTCTTTTACTAGATAAACTACAGGAGGAACAGATTTCTGCAGTTAGTGAATAAAGAACTTACATAATCAGTATTGTCAGCATAAGTGCTTCTAAATTCATCACAATTCTAGAAATCTCACCGTTAACAAAAATAGTTCCTAAAGAGTATGTCATTTTTATGAGTTTAAATACCTGTTTTTTCCATTAAAGTGTATAAGATACCTTGCTTTTATGAGAGGATTACACAAATGTGGAGGGAAAAAAAAAAAAAAACCAGAAAAAACATACCTATCATTTCAAATTCCCTACAGAAGACCAAACCAAGCCAGGATGTAAACTGTGCACAAGAAGCAAAAACTGTTTATTCCAGTTAAAAAATTAGCTCCAGTCATTTAATTGCCTTCACTCATTTGCCCTTTTATTTTAAAAGATAAGTTTTAAATATACATAACCTCTACAGATGTCTAATATGGTACATGTCGATCGACTGTTTCGCTAATTTTGTTTTTAAAACTTTGTAAAAGCTCCTTCTAGCACTTATTATTATAACTTGGTATAACTTTGTGAAGGGAAATTTGGCAGTACCAAAACATTTAAATGAGTATGCCCTGTGACCCAAAGATCCTACTTCTAACTATACTTCATTCCTAAGTGCTCAAGGGTAAAGACATTCTTCAAAATAATTCTTTTTCTTAGTTACTGCCTTACAAGAGAATTAAATCAATTTAATTTTATAAATACAGACTATGTAACACTATGCAGATTTTAAAAACACTGACGTAAAGCTGTACACTAACTTAGAAGCATGCTCATGATATACTGCTGAGTGAAAAATGCAACTCTCGGGGCAGTATGGACAGATGCAAATACTTACATGTGCATAGTGGCAGTCTAAAAGAACATGCAACACACACTGGTAGTAGCGAATACTCACACTACAAGTGAAGTATTTACTATCTGAAATTTTTTTCCTCCAATAGGCAATCAAAAAATATCTCCATGTTTCCTGGAGAGTCTGACTCATCTACAAATTGCATACCATTTAAATGTTAAAATGTATCATTTAGAAAAAATTTAAGTAGTTATTTTGGATATAATCATGTTTAACTTACTCAGTTGTCTCTTAGTATATCATTCCCCCAAAATTTAAACTCTTATAGCCAACTGGATGTTTTAACTGGGAAGACTGGAGGTCTTCCTATATTAGTTGGCCAGAGCTATTTCAGCAAATGAGATGTTTTCTGGGTCAAAATAAAATTGACAATTTTTAGTAAATAATAGATTGAGGAAAAAGCTATTGTTATCAGGCATTATGCCAATTTAGAAATAGCCTATAATGTTACTTACTGGCTTTTAGAGATTCAAGAATAGTTTTTCTAAAGGATATAATAAGACTATAATTTAAATGTTATTTTTTAAAAACTGATATTATACTTTAGTCAGTGATAGTCTCTTAAACCAAGCTGAATTATTATTGAAACTATAGTCTCCAGCAAATCTAGAAAAATGGTAACAGGAATCACAGGCAATCAAATTTGCCACAGTAGTGGAGATTAGAAACTGCTAAATACACAGAACATCATAAATCATTATATTCCCTAGGCTAGAAGAAAAAACCTAGGCAGAACATTTATATTGCAACATAGGGGCATTCAGAGTATGAAACCAATATAAAAAGATGGAGGACAAATATAAGATATTTTAAATAAACCATAAAATTTTGATTATGTGTAGAATAAAAAATTTTTAAAAGCTGGGAATATGTGAGAAAGATTACTAATAAACCATAGTGTATTTCAGCTACTCTGACAATATAAAAAAAGTACCATCCCTGCCCCACTACTCCAGTCATCCTTTTATTTAACAGCAAATAGATCGGATTTTAAGAGTTTGCTTTCTTATTCCATTGTGGGATACTGCTAAAGTCCCAGTCTTAGAGATCTGTTTCCCAATCAATAAAATAAGCTGAATTTAAACATTCTTACTTAGAGGTTTATATCAGAATTAGTTGTGCAGCTCTTGTGCCCATATACCACATCCCTATGCTACACTCTGCTTTGATAACTTTGAAGTGTGGCTATTCTCTACTGAGAATCACTGAAATAGATGATCTATGACATAGAAAGGAAGGCTATTTCAAATACGTCTCTTCCTCTTAAGAGGAAAAGCATATTTTTGTTTGTTTATGTATGTGTGGGGAAGAGGAAAAAATGAGTATGCATCTGGAACAGGAAAGGGTTAACTGCATCTTTAAGAAAAAAAAATTAAAATTTAGATAAAAGCAACTTATTCCCAAAAACACAAGTACAAAGTCTCCTTTTAGCTAAACACAGAGACATCGTATCACTTAATATTTATTAAGCACCTATTCAGTATAAAGACCTCAGAAACTTGTTAGATAAGTACCAAGACATTTCATTCATTCATTCAATAAATATTATGTATGCAGCCACCATACTACCACTAGGGATATAGTAATGAATGACACAGATAAAGCCTCTACCCACATTCATGGAGCTTAACAGCTAGACAACTATCAGCAATTGCTTAACAATGACTGATTGGAGAAGCACATGATATGTCCTTTGCTTACTATTACAGTGCCAAAACTCCCTGACAGATGAATGCACGGATGAATGGCTACACAGATGCAGCTACAGAGATGGATAAAGAAACAGAGATGGGTGGAAAGAAAGAAACTAGTTGAGGTAGACATATAAGTTAACAATATTTTATAAAAATTATTTCTTCCTTGAGAAGGGAAGTCCTTCCATCTGACCTTATGCAATCACATAGCAATTTTACAAGAAAAGGAATCTGGGTGTCGTGGACAAATTCCAGTAACAGTTGATATAAGTAGCATATATCTGTTTTAAAATCCACTGTAATATCAGGATTTCTTCTTTAAATATATCCAAGAACTAGCATGCTGCTAATGGCTGGTACCTTGATTGAAAGGTCTAAAAAGACTGAAAAATGTCCTAGAAAGACTTTAACTGAAAATTCTGAGATAAATTATTTAAGTGAGAATTTAACATAGATTATAGGTCATATTGACTGGGCAGGTTTCTTGAATGTCTAAATTACCAATTAAATCCAAATATACTCTCTGAGTATTCTCTCTCAATTATTAGGTAGCTATATAATTAGAACCTTACATTGTGCTTTATGGCATTGTAAGAAAGACCTAGGGAAGAAAGTGGACAATGAAAACGTTAAACTCACCTCTTGGCCTGATTTTCCTGAATTCTCTGAATGTAACGACTCAATTTCTCCTTCAATCATCGCAGCCTCTAGGCACTCATGCAGATCTTTGAACCCATTGACCTGAAGTGGGTACTGACCAAACATTTCAGTGTTTTCAAATTTTTTACCTATAAGAAGGGAGAAAATTAATAATCCTCAATATGGCCTTCTGGCTACTAAAATTAAGAGTACATAAGGATTCTCAGCTGAACCCGAAAATTGTAACACTGACTGATTTCATTCCTGAGAAGTGTTAGTGTAATTTTCCTGTTGGTTTATACACATGCACAAATGTACATTTATACCCAGCCATAGATATTACACATCCACATATATTTAATTAAATGCACACATGTGTATGTATATTTTTTCTCACAAGAAGCATTTTCTAAGGGCAAGATACCATACTGAACACTGGGAATATATACAGCAGTGAACAACAGAGATATGGTCCCTGAGCTGAGAAAATTCTCAGCCTCATTTGAAAAACATTATACCCATTAACTTCAAGTATATTTATAAACAAATAATTATTATTACAACTGTTATAAAAAGAAAGTTGTGATGAGACACAGTGCTGTGAGAGGTATAAAAATGGGAACTTAGTCTTGGGGGTGGTGGGGAGAGCAGGGAAGACTTTCATGGCAAAGGACATTTAAGCTCAGACTTGAATAATGAGTGGGAGTTAGCCATGCCAGAGTGCTGGGGGATTATATAGCGTATTCTTGGCCATGGAACAGCATGATGAAGACTTTAAGGCAGTAAGGAAGTTGATATGTTTAGGAACTAACAGAAGATTAGTGTAGCTTGGGGAATCAAGGGAGAGATCACAATGAAGTCAGACAGGGAGTTAAAATCTACAAGGTCTTGTGTTCCTATTAAGAATTTTTTTTCCACACCACATTCTGCATATAATGCAGTCACTGATATGGTTTGGCTGTGTCCCCACTCAAATCTCATCTTAAATTGTAGCTCCCATAATTCTCCTGTATTGTGGGAGGGATTCAGCAGGAGATAACTGAATCATGGGGGCAGTTTCCCCCATACAGTTCTCGTGGTGGTGAATAAACCTCATGAGAGCTGATGGTTTTATAAGGGGTTTCCCCTTTGGCTTGGCTCTTGTTCTCTTCTCTTGTCTGCCACCAAGTGAGACATGCTCTTCCACCTTCTGCCATGATTGTTAGGCCTCCCCAGCCATGTGAAACTGTGAGTCCATTAAACCTCTTTCTTTGGTAAATTGCCCAGTCTCAGGTATGTCTTTATCAGCAGCATGAAAACTGAAACACCTTTAAAGTCCCTGTGTGAACTAGGTGGTCATCTGTTAAAAGACTATTGCAGAATCCATCCAGAAATAAAGGTAGCATGGATTAAGATTGTTAAAAGAGATAATATATACATTTATACATATATACAAGGAGGAGCACCAACAGGACATGACTGAGGGGTTTGTAAGAAGGATAAGAGACAGATAAGAAGGAAAATATCAAGAATGACAGAATTCTGGCATGAACAACTAGATGATGATGATGATTACTATTTATTTTATTTTTTGAACAACTAGATGATGATGATGATGATGATGATTACTATTATTTATTTTATTTTTTGAGACAGAGCCTCGCTCTGTCACCCAGTCTGGAGCTCAGTGGTATGATCCCTGCTCACTGCAAACTCTGCCTCCCGAGTTCCAGCAATTCTCCTGCCTCAGCGTCTCTAGTAGCTGGGATTACAGGCGCCCACCACCACAGCCGACTAATTTTTGCATTTTCAGTAGAGACGGGTTTCACCATGTTGGCCAGGCTGGTCTCAAACTCCTGACCTCAAGTGATCTATCTGCTTCAGCCTCCCAAAGTGCTGGGATTACAGGCATGAACCATCATGCCTGGCAGATTATGGACTGAAAATTGCACCACTTAAGTAAGAGCAGAGGATTTTTTTTCTTTAGTTTTGAGGTAGCAGTGGAAATCACTGGTTCATTATGACCCACGAGATTTCAATTTGAGAAGAGAGTTGAATATGAGTCTATAACTAAGATTAATATTCTGGAATAAAGATAGAATTGCTGGCTTATTGACAGCAGGAAATTAAGGCAGTGAATGAGATGCCTAGGGGATGAGACAGGAAGAAAAAATGGGCCTAAACAAAGTCCTAAGGTTCTGCTACCTTTATATGCAAAAAGAGACTATAAATACAACTTTTCTTAGAAGTACCCACAGAGGCAGGAAATTGTATTTTTAGTAGAGACGGGGTTTCACCATGTTAGCCAGGATGGTCTCGATCTGCTGACCTCGTAATCAGCCCGCCTCGGCCTCCCAAAGTGCTGAGATTACATGCGTGAGCCACTACGCCCAGCCGACAAATTAAGTATTTTAATAACAATCAATTTTAGGAATCAATATAATACAGGTAGAAATGCTCCTGCAGGGTATTATAAACAGTGCCTAGTCACGACCTGATCAGACATACTAGCTGTATCAGATACAGTGTTCTACTTCAAATCAAATCAGAATGATTAAGATGAATGACCCAACGTAAATGTACTATGTAAAATATTCTACTTCTATATATAAACATATATATTAACTCATATATATGTGTGTATATATAACAACTTATATATAAGCTGTTACCATTTGAAACAAACAGAAATGTATGAACACTTCACTAAGACTTTTTAAAGGGTCAACATCTGAGTTCGTATCTGCCTTTTTCTGAATCCCAAACCACCTATGTTCAAACAAAACTTCAGGGAATCCACTACTTAAGGTCATGAAGAAAAAACATTTTTTCAAATTTTACACTTTAGCTGATCTGGAAACAGGTAACTTTCAAAAGTTGATGCATTGGGTGATTTGAGAAAAACAATTTTTCAAGTTTATGCTTTGGGACTAATATTATTACATGAAGTTACATTTAAAGAGAGTCTCCTGCCTTGTTAGGAAAACCAAACAGAAACTAGTTAGGCCACATTTTATGAAACAGGTATTTAGCTTAAATGGAGTAGTATCACTCTTAACTGATTTTTCAAAAGATAGAGTATAATTTTTTCCTGAAAATTAATATCTACATTTAAAATCACTCAAAAAGTGAGAACTCTATACCACCCTGACTATGCTAAGTTGCTAAATTCAGCTTTCAACGTGAAAAAGAAACTGAGCATCATAGCAAGCCCAGTATTTAACTCCAATATTATCTTCAAAGGATCTCCCAACTGTCCCATTAATCCCTGATTCCAACGTAACAGGATCACAGAAGCCCTCTCACTGGAAAAAACATGAGGATAAAATAAAGTATCAATTAGTATGTGATAATGCACTTTACACATTCCTTTTCATTCATTCAATTCTGTGCCATATGCGAATAACAGTAGCAATCCAACAAAAATTACTAGACAGAATATATCAAAGTCCACTAAAATAATAGTAACTATTGAGACAAATGAACGAATGAATAATAATCTCTCTTCACTTGTAATAAAAAGTAAATGTGTAACTATACCTTCAAGTACTCCCACGGCTAGGAATCTTCCATAGAACAACTCTACCATGGGGTTCTTTGGCTTCTCTTCATCCCTAAAGAGTGTTAAAAAATATAAATGTGATTACAATTTTTGGACCTATAGAGAAAATATTAAAAGAACCATAGCATATGACAAGACAAAAACACGTCTGTGGCTATCATGCACTTATACTGAGCTCTGTTATTTACAGCGTCACCTTGTGCAAGGTACTTAAATTTATTCTCCCGTTTCTTCACCTGTCAACTGAGGATGATGATGATAGTTGCACTCACAGGATTCTCATAAGAGTTAAAATGAGCACTACATGTATGAACTTGGAAGAGAAATTGACACGGTCTGTGCACAAAGTGCCTGCTCTTTCTGTCATCATTATACATTTCAATCTCTTACTCTGTGTAGCGCATGTTAATTTGGACATGGGAAGGAAGAAAAGCCACTTTTAATCAGAATAGATTTCTACAACATGTTGCTAAGTTATTTCCTGTATTTACATGGAAGAGTCCAAATAATCCAAAAACAACAACCTCACCAGGGAGGGAACAAGGTACCAGTTTTTGACCCAGAGTAGCTTCACCTTTCGTGAAGTTTCACACTGCTGGTAGAATTAGTCGTTTACATAGTTTCCAAGTCATTTAATATAAAAATTCATTTTTTTCTTTTCTGTTTGAAGCAAACAAATTGATAATTTTAAACTGTCTTTTTATGGTTTGTGTGATCTAAAAAAACAAAAGTTCATCTTGGCCTTACCATATAGAAATGCATTGTATCTACAGTTGTATAGATTTTTCTGTATTAATTTGTGTTTATATTAATTGATTTGTTAAGTATTGTTTAAAAAGGGAGGGGATACCATCTCTCTTGATAAATAGGTCATCATTTTATCCTTAGAATAATGTTAATAAGTACTTCTCTTAATTCTTACAAGAACCCCAGTAGGTAGTGTAGTAGTCTTTAGTGCTACTGAAAAAAAATTCTGGCCCTTCATGTTCAGGTACATGGTAAGATACACTGTCCTACTCACTTCTTAAAACTGTGATAAAATGTACATAGCCCTTTAACTGCACAGTTCGGTAGTGTTAGGTAGATTCACACTGTTGTGCAACCAATCTCAGAATTCTTTTCCTCTTGCAAAACTGAAACTCTATATGCATTAAACAACTCCCCATTTCCCCCTCCCCCCAGCCTCTGGCAACCACCATTCCACTTTCTGTTGCTACGTGTTTGATAACTCTTGATACCTCACATAAGTGATTTATAGTATTTGTCCTTTTGTGACTGGCTTATTTCACTGGGTATAGTATCTTCAAGGGGTCATGTTACAGCATGTGTCAGAACTTCTGTGCTTTTCAGGATGAACAATATTCCACTGTACATATATATAGAACATTTTGTTTATCCATTCACCTATCAATGGATATTTGGTATACTTCCACCTTTTGGCTATTGTGAATAATGTTGCTATGAACACAGGTGTACAAATATCTCTTTGAAACCCTGCTTTCAATTCTTTTGGATAGACACCAAGAAGTAGAATTGCTGGAACATATGGTGATTATATTTTTAAACTTTTAAGAAACCCCCATACTGTTTTCCACAGTGGCTGTACCATTTTATATCCTCATCAATACAGCACAAGGGTTTCAATTTCTCCACATCCTTGCCAACCCTTGTTATGTTCTTGGGGTAGTGGGGGTTGGGGGGTTGTTTTTTTCATAGCCACCATCCTCATTAGTGTGAGAAATTCCCACTCATTTTGAAGTTAGGCCACATAGCTCTGTCCAACAAAATGTGAGCAGAAGTGATGTGTGTCACTTCTGGGCAGAAACTTGGAGACACAGTATAATTTTCACTGCCAGCAAGATCCCAGAGACCTAGGTGACCTTGGGGCCCTGAGTGAACAGATGAACAGAGCCACTTGTTCACATGCACTGCTACTTCATATCCCTGTCTTCATGCTTCTACATAAAAGGATTTTGTCACAATTCACATTCCTGACATCTTTCTCCACGGCAAATTCATTCCTCCTCATGAAAAGTGATTACTGAATCTAAGAAAAGGAACTGGGCATGTAAGACTAGCTCTTTCAGGGACCACTTTTTAGATTTTTTTGGTTAGATCATTATTTGTGCCTGCAAATTCCAAACAGCTTGTCAATAATACAGAAAATATTGGGATTCCCATAAGTCTGTCTTGATTTCTTATTTCTCCGTTGACATTAAATACATGCTATCTAATGAATTCCTAAAACCCCACTGCTAAACTTCATGGTAACTTACGTCTCCTCTTCAGCTTTCATTTGGAAGGCATCTTCTAACCAATCTAATAATTTGTGTGTAAACTCACTCACATCTTGCTGTGAAAAGAAAAAAGCCTGTTGATATTTGAGCCTACTAAAAAAAAATACTAGATGTTATAACATCAAACCTAGAGCCAGTTACTGAAATATATAATCACTAACTTCTTGCAAAGATAACAAGTGAAATGTTTCACACAAAATGCAAGAAACTTTTATCATTTAACCAGGATATGTTTGAAAAAACAAGCATTATATTGATATTCAATGATTGGGTTCACTCTAAAATACACACACACACACACACACACACACACACACACCAAAAACCAAACTTACAAATGAGATTTTTTAAAAATAATCATTACTCACCACCTGAAGAGCTCTGTAATGAATCTTTATAAAATGAAGAAATCATCTTACCAAACAGTTCTTTATTTTATAAAGAATTATTACTGGCTTCTCTCTTACAAGGAAGACTAGTCTCTTTCCACAATTCATTTTCTTAATTCAACTTACACACACAACTTTTCAAGCCATATCTACCTTTACTATCATTCAGAACCAGCTCATTTATCACCTTTCACCATTCCTTTGATCTTTGCTCTTCCAACATAGAAAAACAGGAATAGGTTGTAGCAGTTGTGTTATCAACTACCATAATTCTTTCAATAACGTGAGTTGGAACACAGAAAATAATAAATAGAACACAAGGGAAAAAGCAATAAATCAACTCTACTAAGGCTGCTTAAAGACAGATGAATCAGTAGTAAGCAATTTGCCCTTATCAAAATAGCCCCAAATATAAAACAAACTTACTATCATACATTTTTTCAGCCAGAAGTTTCTTAAAGAGCACGTAGGCCAACTTATTAACCTTAAAAAAAAGTTGAAACTAAAGTCTGGAAAGCTTAAGTAAATTGCTCCAAAGCTGCAGAGTTAAATAGGACTAAACGCAACACAAAAATCTAGCTGTAAACATTCATAATACCTACGGTGGGTTGAATAGTAGCCCGCAAAGATGTATGTCCACCTAGACCCTCAAAAGGTGACACTATTTGGAATAATGATCTTTGTCAATATAATTAAGGTAAGGATCTTGAGATGAGATCAGCCTGGATTAGGGCTGGGGCTAAATCCAATGGTGAGTGTTCTTATAAGAAACAGAAAACCAGAAGACAGACAGACACATGAGGGAAAGCCATATGAAGAGGGAGACAGGGATTGGAGCTATGCTGCCTCAAGCCAAGGAACACCAACAGCCACCAGAATACGGTGGAAGCAAAGAAGGATTCTCCCCTAGAGCCACTGGAGGAAGTGGGGCCCTGCCAACACCTTTATTCTAGACCTCTGCCCTCTAGAACTGTTGGAGAATAATCTTTTGTTTTTAACCACTCCGTCTGTTGCAATTTGTTACGACTGTCCTCAGGAACTACTGTAACATCTTAAAACAACTTTTCATACTTTTGTATAACTTTAATTCACTTAAAGGTTATATCTAACAAAAAATAAGGTTTCCTAGCTATCACAATATTTTTCAGAAGTTAATCCCTATCTTCCTTAGAAATCAATCTAAAATTGACAATTATAAAATAAAAATTCTACCTGCATCCATCAAGAGAAAAAAAAATAATGAAATCTTCACTGATTTTTAGTTTTAAGCTGAAACAATTAAAGGTATGATTAAAACTGACAGTATCAATTGGGGCCAGGTGTGGGAGGCCAAAGAGGGAGGACAGCTTGAGCCCAGGAGTTCAAGACCAGGCCTGGCAACATAGGGAGATCCTGTCTCTATAAAAATAAAATACAATTATTTGCCAGGCGCGGTGGCATGTGCCTGTGGTCTCAGCTACTTAGGAGACTGAGGCATGGGGAAGGCTTGAGCCCAGGAGGCTGATGCTACAGTGAGCCATTTGTCATACCACTTTATGACACTGTAAGCCATTTGCCATACCTGTATGACACTGTAAGCCATTTGTCATACCACTGTATAGCACTGTATGACATTATACCAGCCTGGGTGACAAAACAAAACCGTGTCTCCAAAAACACAAAAATGGAAAAGAAAAAGAAAAAAACTAACAGTATCACATATCAAAGCATATCCCAAAAGACACTTGTGCACTTCAAGAGATGATATATTTGAAATATTTAGGAAGAAGATACAATGAAAATATAAATTCACTTAAAAAAAAATCATGATGCTTACATTTACAGATTCACTAAATTACTAGTGTAGCCTTCAAATTCAAGTGTTTAGGGAACAGAAGAGAATCAAACTTATCAACCTTAATTGATATACATCCACCTTAAAAGTCCTCTAAAGAAAAAGAATCACTAATTTCAAAAGTTAGTCTACAGTGCTAGTCTGAAGCAAAAGCATTTATATTGTGGCCTGAACAGCCAGTTGTATCCATTTCAACTGTAACTGAAAAGCCCACCTATGTACATATATGGCTCCAAATGAAGTCTATGCTGCCTCATCTTTAAAAGTGAAAAGATACCCCAAAATCAGCATGAATCTCTAGGAAAGAAAGAAGAAAGAAAGAAAGAGAGAGAGAGAGAAAAAGAGAGAAAGAAGGAAGGAAAGAAGGAAAGGAAGGAAGGAAGGAAGGAAGAAAGGAAGGAAGGAAGGAAGGAAGGACGGACGGACGGACGGACGGAAGGAAGGAAGGAAGGACAGACAAGGAAAAAGCCATCCAGAAAGAAAGGTAAGTCAGAGAACAGAAGTAATTTTTTTGAAAATGTAATTGTATATTCAGAGTCACTGGAAAAGATAGTATGCATACTAAAAAAGAAAAAAAAAAAGGTAAAACGCATTTAGAACCAGAAGGAATGCCAAATGCCCTAAAATGGTGGTTTGGGATCAACTGTAAAATTATTTTTCTTTCTTTTGATTTGTGTTAGTGTTATCATGACAGAGCAAGTAAGAAACAAAGCTGAGTCGATACTAAGCCTAAAAGGCACAGGAGCATTGTTAGAATGTTTTAAAAAATGAAACAATATATAAAAGAAACTCTGAGTGAGTGCCCTTTTTGTTCATTCACATTTGCCATAAAAGGTAAATTTAAAACAGAAAGAAAAAGCACAAGGAAAATGGTGACAGAGTCTCCGACCCTCCTCTTCCAAACGCCCTCTCCTTACATCCAAAAAACAGAGACACATCCAAGTATGTACTTTGAAAATCAATACTGAAAGCTTAGTGGCTTTTTGAAGCTTCTGCCATTACATGCTTGCTGCCATCTTTTTGAACACTTACTATTATTTGCCACTGTATTTGTTCCTCTGTTTTCCTTCTTTAATTTCTCTGATTTTTCCAATTATATGTGAAAATACTGGTTTGTTTATAGATATTTTGTAAGAAAATTACCAATATGCTTTTAAGGTAATGGATAAAAATCTACAATACACTATATAAACAATAAAAGACAAAAGCAACAATAACAAAGATAATGTATTTCAAAAACCATTTCTGGGTAATTACGGAAAAGTACTCCCTGCCAGCAAACACAGGAATATCAAAAGCATGTGTACTATAATGATCCTCTGTTATCACACATTTGTGAAGATGTTTAATTATGTACTTGTAAATAATCTTAATTTTATCCATCGTTCTCATTTCAATCATAATGTAAATTAAAACTTTATTTTAACACCTTCAAGATTACTTTTCTTTAAAAGTAAGTCTCCCAAATGTTTTAAATGGTTCCAGGTTTTAATAAAGCAGTATCATGCATCTTAAAAAGTCTCATATTCTTGGGAAAGCTGCTTAATATTATTCGGATTAAATAAAATACAAATGGTTAATAAACAAGTAAGTGCAACAAAACTACCTGCTGTGAGTCATTTGATTTGAAAGCATCCTTAAGAATTTCAACTGCTCTTGATGGATCAACATACTTCCTTTTGGTACCAACAAGAAGTGCAAATAGATACCTCAGCTCACGCATAAAAGGCAAATTCCGATGTTCCTATTGAAGGAAAAAAAAACCTTAATTGAAGATTAAGAAAATTTTTACTAGTAAATAGATATTCATTTTAACAGTAACCAAAAATTAAACTAGCCAATATAGATTTGGGATGAATTAGCACTCTTTCATAATTGAAGAAAGTAGAGTGTTGGTGCCATCTAAGAGACTCAAAGAAGTCCAGCACAAAAAAGGCAGAAGACCTAGGATAGGCTCACAATTTCAGATGAATGCCACATATTCACAGCAAATCATGTCATTACTCAGCCCAGAATATCTTCCTCATTCAAGACTGCTTATTATAATACTTCCCATTCAGCAAGGCCCAGCTGCTGCTGCTGAGAGCAATAATAACAGGCAACGTCCAATGAGTGCTCACTGCATGCCAGGCACTGTTCTAAGTGCTTTATCTCAATAAACCCATTTAAGCAAAAATCTCTACTCCTCCATGAAGTCTTTCCAGACTCCTCCAAGTCAACGATACCTTCAAATTCCACATCTACTGAAATGAATGCCTTTCACTGAGCAATGAACCACTGACTGTCACTGTGGTGTGACAATCTTAATTACCAGACTAATATTAGAACCTCATCCAATTGTTAACATTAGAAATTTAATAATTATTTATTTATTTATTTATTTAATAAAAAGTACTTATAAATTATTTTATACTCATTTATTTTATATCTATTTTAAGTTACCCAACATTATATTTAATATAATTCAATCACAATACTTAAATTTAATTATATTAATTTAATAATTAGACCAGATCCTAATAGGAGACTAATATATCACCCTCCTAATAGTCCTCTGAAATCTTACTTTTGTTTCTCAATAAGACTATAAGATTCTCAAAGACAAGAATTTCTATATCTCTTCCACAAGTTTTTACTACACAAAGCAAGCATTCAATTCTTAATGGTTCATTAAAGCAAAATCTCCAGAAAAAATTAAAACAACTCACATTACCAATCACTAACAATTTAATTTAAAACAAGAAGGAAACTTTAAAAAATAATGTAATTCACAAAACTTAGTGAAATGTTTCATGGCAACAAACCAGGCAAGCCATTCTTATAATATTTAGTTCTTGTAATAACAATTCTAATGGATAAAATTTAGATATTAAATATGAAAATTTTCTTCCAAATTTACATAGTTGGCATTCTTAACATTGTAAAATTCTAGGGGTCTGGGATGGGGGTGTATCTTTACATAGTTGCTGCCCAGAATAATATAATCGACATAGAAAGAACTGCTTCTAGAATATATTCCAAAAAAGAGTCCTAAGAAATAAGTAAGAGGGAATAAAACTGGTTCCAAATATACCCTACAGAAACAGGTTTTGAAAGTATAAAAACTATGAGCTTTAATCCATAAAGTTACTTCCATGAGTACCCATAATTTCCTGAGATCAGTTTCTTTATCACTGCACCTAAGTCAATGCAGTTTTGTGAGACATTCCCAGTAACAAAGTTGGAAGTAATAATTTTTTGGAAATTAGGGGAATTCTGCTGAGAAGCATATTTGAAAACTAAATTGCTTCCTAGTTTCTACAAGATTTTACCATAAATGAGATTTTAGCTTTGGTCAAATCATTTTTCTTCATCTACAGAGATGATAATACGGTTTTTCTTCTTTAGTCTGTTGATATGGTGAATTACAGTGATTTATTTTTGAAGGCTAAACCAATTTTGTATTCCTGGATAAGCCCCACTTCTCTATGAGGTATTATCCTTTATATATAATTGCAGGATTTAATTTCTCAAAAATGTGCTACAATTCTTTGCTTCCAAATTCATGAGAAATAATGGCGTGTGGTTTTCTTTTCTTGAAATGTATTTTCCTACTCTTCATTTCAGGGTAATGCTTAGCTCACAAAACAAGTTGGGAAGTTTTACTTCTTAAGTATCTGTACAAATGTATAGGGAATTCTTATCATTTGTTCTTTAAATGCTTAATATAATTTACAAGTAAAACATTCAGCTGTTGAATTTTTTGGTGGATGGGTTCCAGTTCCTTTAATATAATGTAGGGCTACCACAGGTTATCTATTTCTTCATCAGTGAGCTTTGATAGCTTGTGACTTTCAAGTCACTTGTCTGTTGTTTACAATATTCCACTATTCTCCTTTTACTGTCTATAGAATATGTAGTGACGTTTCCCTTTTTCACTCCTTATATTTGTAACAGATGTCTTCCCTCTACTTTCTTGCTTAGTTTACCTAGAAGTTCATCAATTTCACCAAACTTCTCCAGAAGCAGCTTTTGGTTCCATAACTTTCTGTATTGTTTTTCTGATATTTGGTTCATGGATTTCTGCTATTATCTTTATTATTTCCTTACTTCTGCTTTGAGATTAATGGGCCCTTTATTCTCTAATGTCTTGATATGTAAGCTGCTATCATTAATTGAAAACCATTCTTCTTTTCTAATGTCTGGTAAGATGTCTCTTGTTGCAGGAAGTCAGGGACCCCAAACGGAGGGACCAGCTGAAGCCGCGGCAGAAGAACACAAATTGTGAAGATTTCATGGGCATTAGTTCCCCAAATTAATACTTTTATCATTTCTTACGCCTGTCTTTACTGCAGTCTCTGAACATAAACTGTGAAGATTTCGTGGACACTTATCACTTCCCCAATCAATACCCTTGTGATTTCCTATGCTGTCTTTAATCTCTTAATCCCGTCATCTTCGTAAGCTGACGATGATGTATGCCTCAGGACCCTGTGATGATTGTGTTAACTGCACAAATCGCTTGTAGAGCATGTGTGCTCGAACAATATGAAACCTGGGCACCTTGAAAAAAGAACAGGGTAACAGCAATCTTCAGGGAACAAGGGAGATAAGACTTTGGAGTATGACTGCCGGTGAGCCAGACAGAACAGAGCCATATTTCTCTCCTGTCAAAGGCAAATAGGAGAAATATCACTGAATTCTTTTTCTCAGCAAGGAACATCCCTGAGAAAGAGAATGTGCCCCATGAGGGTAGGCCTATGAATGGCCCCCATCAGGGCGGCGTCTTTTACAGTTGAAGCTGAAGGGATGAAATAAGCCCCGGCCGGCCTCCTGTAATGCTCCTAGCCTTATTAGGACAAGGAAATTCCTGCCTAATAAATTTTGGTCAGACAGGTTGTCTGCTCTCAAACCCTGTCTCCTGATAAGATGTTATCAATGACAATGTGTGCCCGAAACTTCATTAGCAATTTTAATTTCACCCCACCCTATGATCCTATGACCTCGCCCTGCCTCCACTTGCTTTGTGATATTCTATTACCCTGTGAAGAATGTGATCTCTGTGACCCACACCCTATTCATGCACTCTCTCCCCTTCTGAAAATCGCTAATAAAAACTTGCTGGTTTTACGGCTTGAGGAGCATCACGAAACTTGCCAACATGTGATGTCTCCCCCAGACACCCAGCTTTAAAACTTTTCTCTTTTGTACTCTTTCCCTTTATTTCTCAGGCCAGTTAAGACGCTTAGGGAAACAGAAAAGAACCCACGTTAAATATCGGGGGTGGGGTTTCCCCCGATAGTCTCTAATAAGATATCTTCAACTAATCACTGTTTTAGCTTCATCCCTCAAATTTTGATATGTCATGTTTTAATTTTCATTCAGCTCAGAATATTTTGAAATTACTCATTTGATTTGTTCTTTGTCCCTTGGTATATTCAGAGGTGAACTACTTCATTTCCAACTATCTGGGAATTTTCTGTATATCCTTCTGTTGTTGATTTCTACCTTGATTTCTACCATTTTCGTCAGAAAAGGTATTCTGTATGATCTGAATTCTTTAAAATGTACTGAGACTTATAAATCCAGTTCCTGTCACTTCTTCATGACTAATGGCAGAAATCTCAGTATGCCTTTTTTATTTGTAAAATTCAAAATTCCTTCAAGTATTTGGTCCAGGAATACAGTATGGTACTCAACTAAACCCATTTCCTTCTGATGACATTCGCTTTAAGTAGTGAAAAGTGAGAAATTTATTTATTTTGAAATATTTGTCCTAAATCAAGGCTTTAAATAATATAACCTTCCAATTAATAAGGCTTTAGCTATTTATATGATGATTTCCACTAAATACTATACATGTGCATCTTTGTTTCCTCAACATTTAATATTTTTGCCATCAGTTTGAAACATTTTAAGCCAAATGTATATCTGTGTGAGGGGAGGCGGGATGATTACATCAAGGATCTATTATTGTATTTCCAGAGACCTCAAAATTCTCCTAGACACTGAAATTACAAACAGTTCAAATAAATATGAGTGTCTAAAATTAGTTTCAATTTCTACAAGCAATTGCCAAGTCTACTTAACATACAAACTAATTTCAAATACTGTATTTCTTTTAAATCTCACCCAATATGTATGTAATATTTGTGGCAAATTCTGCCAGTAAAAAAATCCTGTTTAAAAGTGTATACAAATGGCATTTCTGTGATGTGATCAAAGTAATCCCAAATGTATTCTGCAATTTAACACAAAGTGTTCAAATTGAATGTAGCTGTAGACACATCACCAGTTGGAGGTAAATTCATTATTAAATAAGTGACAAGTTACACTGATACCTTTTTTAAAAACTGCTGTCACCATCTCAAATGAATATAGGACCATTCAGTGGCTGATAACTACCTATAAATCCCACATTTGCTTCAAAGATGTCAAGGTATAGTGTGAACTGCTGTCACTCTACTAAATTAAAGGAGAGTCACTTTTGTGGAATAATCTTATACAAAATTGCATATTCTACATAATTGTCTCAGAATGGAAGTGAGAAATTATTTTATTTCCTTAAGCTAAAGGGACACCTGGAGCGGCTAACCCATTGCAAGAAACAAACTTGTCTAGAAAGGTGCTGAAGATTGGAATTACACATTTCTCTAGTATTCACAACTCCTTCTGATATATAAGCATAAATATAACAACTGTTTTTAAAATAGGAATACAAACTAACATGGCCTTATTCAACTCTGTGAAGAACAAAAGAAAATAAAGCTCTGTAAAACATTAAAATCCAGGACCATAAATGGTCAAGACACATATACATACATAAATACGTAACTGGAAATGATAATTCTAAACAGTTTCACACAAATTATACATAGACTTTGAGATATGAGAAGAGAGAAGAACTGTGATGTTAACAAATTGCAATAATAGAGGCAATAGTTCAAAAAGTTCCATGTAAAAACCGTAACGATTGAAAGGGTTTTCCTTAATTTTTCTGGAGACACACGAGTTTGTCGAGCAATCGTGACTCCCTTTTGAAAATGGGTTGTTTATCAGCCTGACACTCTACAGCACAGAGATTATAACCTGAAAAGCTGGTTATAAATCAAGTTCTCATCCCACTAGCATGCATTATAAATGTTTTACGTGTTTACAGAAAAAGTGGTTTTAAAAATTAAACGCTAAAAGGAAAACATAATTTAATAATTCATCACTCCTACTAACAATAGGTCACAAAAAGTTCAGCAGTACACTGAAACCTAAAACTAACTCCCCTGTCTTGGCAACGAGTCCACTTTAGGACTACAGATTGTTTATGACAAGATCAACTACTAAAGTCCTACACGCAACTATATCATCTCTGTAAGTAATTTTTTCCATTAGGTATAAATTCTGTGTGCAAACTGGTTCTTTTTAAAATAAGTCTTATTTTATTTATTTATTTTTTTGAGACGGAGTCTGGCTTTGTCGCCCAGGCTGGAGTGCAGTGGCGTGATCTCAGCTCACTGTAAGCTCCGTCTCCCGGGCTCACGCCATTCTCCTGCCTCAGCCTCCCAAGTAGCTGGGACTACAGGCGCCCGTCACCACGCCTGGCTAATTTTTTGTACTTTTAGTAGAGATGGGGTCACCGTGTTGGCCAGGATGATCTCGATCTCCTGACCTCGTGATCCGCTCCTCCTCGGCCTCCCAAACTGCTGGGATTACATGCGTGAGCCACCGCGCCTGGCCCTAAATAAGTCTTATTTTTAAAAAACTTTGTTTTATTGTTTAACTGACAATAGCTGACACCTAGTTCTTACTATGTACCAAGCACTTGTAAGCCCCTTACATGTTTTACCTCATTTAATGCTCACAGCAACTCTATGAAATAATTACTATTATTATTTATGCTTTACAGATAGGAAATGGAACAGAGAGAAACCAAGTAACTAGCTCTAGGTCCATAGCTAGAACCCAAGCAATCTGGCCCTGGTATGTGTGCTCTTTGTTCACTTTATACTACCTATCTACCATAGTCACTTCCAAAATGAAAGATACACATTTGTACTGCAAAGACATGAATGCAAAACTCATTTTTTAAAGGGCTCCACAAGACAATCAACTGAAAAGAAATTTCTATTTCCACAAAATTTTTCAGGAGACAATTGAGGAAAGACCTTAAATTGTAAACTATAGCCTATAAAGTTTACTGAAATGTGATAGTCCCCCCCAAAAAATTACTAAAGTGACACCAAAAATTGGCATATTACTGTGACAGGTAAAGAAAAAAAGTCATATTTATAATATATTAACAAAGGATAAGAAGTTGCTGTGGTAACTGAGATTAATGAATTGACACTCAAATTGACAGTTTCCGATTTGATGAGCCAAGTAAATGCCCAAAAATCAATCACATATAAGAGAACATATAGACTATATATACTGTTAAAAAAAAAAATCTTTTACATTTTACCTTTTGGTTTCGGGGTAAATCTTGAGCATTTGATGGAGGCTTGTAATTCAGAACTAATCTTCTAAATTCCAAAAGATTAAATAATGACTGAAAAAGAATAACAATTGAAGATAACCTGAGAGAAAATTCCATTAGCAGAATGTAAAAAGAACTAGTTTAGAGATTTATTTTTGACAGTGTACTACTTATACTCAGAATCATTGCAACTGGCACAAGGAGGCCACATTTCTGAGAAAAAGTCAAATTTCTTATATTTGACTTACTATTCTTGATACTTGATGGTGCACAAGATTATATTTGGACAACTTTTTGAAAATACTACTCGTTATTAATAGCTCTCTTTATACGCACTTAAGCAGTTTCCTCAAAAGAAAGAGTATGCAAATGTCAAGTCCAAAATTTTTTAGATGTGCTATGTTTACCATGAATTATCTAGATGTATCATTAATTCTAGAAAAATGTAGTACAAATAAATTTATTCACCAGATCCTAGGTGATAGAGACACAAAGAAATTACATATTATCTCAATGCTCAAGGAAATACACAATTTAGAAAGGAGACAGATGTATAATAGAAATGTCGTGACTTCAAGATGCAGTGATAATAATTACACAAGAATATAATGGAGCATATGATGGATGCTCATAGAAAGGCTTCCTGGAGTATCTTTTTTAAACTGTAGTTTGCAACCATTTACTGTCATCATGCTGAACATTTGTTTAAAATGTGATAAAATACAATGGAAAAAATCACAATGTATCATACTCAGTAAATTCATCAGAGTATTTTCTTGCAAAACTTTCATTGTAGATATTTTACAAACTTGTGTATGTGTAAAATGTTTATAATATACAGTATATTCCTTTCTTGGGTCACAGTTTAAAAAGTTTGAAAATTACTACACAGGAAGTGATAATGTATTAAACCTTAGAAAACGTGAGTCAGTCAACTCAACAGAAGATAAAGGTGGCACCACAAATCAATGAGAAAATAAGCTTTTAATCAACAGTTGGGTACTGAGAAAACTACATATAAAGAAATAGAGCCAGATTACATAGATCAATTAACAGCCTAAATATGAAAGGTAAAACCATAAAGCTGGTAACAGAAATTGTAAAAAAATATTTTATCTTGTGATCTAGAAAGATAAAACAATATAAGCACATAAAATAAATCATTTATTCATTCATTTAACAAATATTTATGGAACATCTACTATATGACAGACACTAAGAAGGTAGTCTCTGCCATTGTAGGGATTACAGTCTTGTGACTGCTGATTAAAACAATAACAGTAGAAGTAACAAACCAGAAGGGATATGAATACATGAACAGTTGGCCAAGATCAGAACCTTGGGGAGAAAGCACCATTTAAAAGTCACATGAAAAAAAAAAAATGTTGAGAAAGAGAAAGGTATACTAAGGGAAATCACAGAAGAAAAAGGAGTGGAGAAAACAAAGGCTTTCAAACATACTTGTGGATCTGAATAAATTGTGGAGCTTTAAAAAATAACAATGTCAGGGGACTCTCAATAAAGATACAAAGTTCCACAAAAGATTCTGCTGTACATCAAAAAATAGCTGGCACATTTCAAGGAGGACAAGATTAGCAATATCATGAAAAGTTGCCACATTCTTCCAATAAACTAAGGACAGGGAAATAACCTTTGGATTTGGCAACTGGAAAGTCATGTTTTCAGTTGAGTGATAGAGGAAGAACAGAGGCATTAAATAATTGGAAAACGGGGTATAGAGTAGCACCCTCTTATCCAAAAGGGATACATTCCAAAACCTCCTCTCAATACCTGAAACCGCAGATATTACTGAACCCCATATATACTATGATTTTTTTCCTTGCATACCTATGATAGTTTAATTTATAAATTGGGCACAGTATGAGATTAACAACAACAATAATAAAATAGATCAACTGTAAAAAACATACTGCAACAAAAGTTGTATGAATGTGGTCTCCCTCTCCTTCTCTCTCTCAGTACTGTAATATTTTCAGCCACAATTAACAGCAGGTAACTGAAACAGCAGAAAGTGAAACCAAAGATAAGGGGAGTACTTTAAGTAGGGGAGACAAACCACGGACTATTCTTTTGAGGAATTTAAAGAGGAAAGAGAATGCTGGCAGGTTAGAAGAATCTCAATCCCACTTCTATTCTCTGAGCTCCCACTATAGATAGAGTATTTTCCTTGTTCCTGGACACTTAGAACTTCCTTTGGTGTGGGTGGTGAAGAATTATTTCAGCTTCTGTTGACTGAAATGCTTTTCTTCATTTTAAAAGACTTCTGCTAGGTATAAAATTCAAGATGGCCAGTTATTTATTTCCAGCACTTTAAAGACATTATTTCTGCTGATGTGTGACATGATGTTTAAAGGTATCAAAGTCAACTATTAGTCTTGTTTTTGCTCCTTTATATGTGTATCTTTCTCCTCCTTGCAACTTTTAGAATTTCTGTCTATAGTTATTTTTTTGTTTTATGATGATGTACTCTGGTGCAGTATTCTTTATGTTTATACTATTTGATTCATATTGCTTCCTGAATCTATGACTTGATCTTTCTCAAGTTTGGAATATTGTGAATCATCTCTTCAAATATGCTTTTGCCCTATTTCCTTTTACTCTCCTTCTGGAACTACAAATACACTGTTAGTACTACTCACCATATCCAAAGTAACTCTTTGATGCTCCCATCTTTATGTCATAGCTTTAGTCTGAAAAATACTCTCCAGATTAATTTACCAGTTGGCTAATTATCCCTTCAGTTGTGTCTAGTAACGCTGCTAAATTTATTCACTGACTTCTTAGTTTCATTTATATTTTTCCATTCTGAAATTTCCATTTTGTTCTTTATAGTTTTTAGTTTTCTTCAGACTCTCAACCTTGCTTTTAATTCCTTGAATATATTAATTATTATTATGGCAGACACATATTCCGATTTTCCTGTGCTGTTTTCTAATGTCCATTTTTTTTGTATCAGTTTTCACACACATCTTATTTTCTGGTATGACTGACCTGAGTACTAGACATTGTGTATGAAAAATGAAGGAAAGGTTCCCAGATAATACTATCTTCTAAGAGAGAATTTACGTTTGCTCTGGCAGGCAGGTAGACTAGAGTCACTTCCAGTCTCAGGTCGCCTTAATCCAATACATTCTGAGATAATTCAGAAACTAGGAAGCCTGTCTTAACTTTCAGTTATCAGTTAATGCCACATTCTAACCATTTAGAAATTCAACTCAAAGTCTAAGATGTTTTACTAGGGCTCAAACTTTGTGCAAAAATTTTCTTAGTTCCTCAGCCACTCAGCAGTCAGTTCTGGAGATGCCTAAAAGACAAAATCCATCAAAAATAACAAGCTCATTCTCTGACTATCTTTCTTTACTCAAAATTCCTCACTGCTTTAGGACCCCAGGATGCCCTCAACAAGTTGGTTTTATTTCTGTTTTTGAATCCAGCAAAATATCACGAGGCAGATGGTCTAAAACAACTTCATCTGCCATTACCCAGTGAAACTCATCACCATCGATCATCACAACAAATCATAAAAATTAAGTTTTTCAAGTCCCAAATACCCTATATCCTTCACCAAAGTCATATGAGTACTGTCCAATGTATTCCTTCAAAAGAGGTAGGAAAGGGTAACTTTTACTGCCTAAAGAGTGTTTTTGATTAATGCACCTGAAAATCAGCATCCTTTCATTCAGTCCAAAGCTAATATGTGAATTTTGAAAAGCACTTTCGAAAATGAAGTTTGGTTAGCCTCCTGCTAATAACAAAGACCTAATGGAGGATAAGAGTCGAAATACTTTGTGAAAAAGAAAAACAGTGATGACAAGAGTGCAGAGGAAACGAAACACAAACTGCCTACAATGGAGAGTACTGAGAAGGATGATAAATTCTCCTTGGAGGATTAAAAAAAAAAAATTAGAAAGGTATCACGTAAGTTTCATGGTGAGGCAGGGACTGAAAAACAGATGGCATCGTTGAAACTAAACGTCTATGTACAGAACAATTAAATCCCCATGTCCTTTCCAGACCCAGCACATTCAGACAATTGCCTCCTCTCTGTGGGGGTACAGGAAATTTAGTCAATTGAGATCCTCAATGACTCAGGTTCAGAAAAAACTGTATGTCGCGGTAGAAAGGAGAGATAAGATTCAGAGCTATGAATAGCAAGATTAAGTAAAAAACATGTAAACTGATACCCACATCAACCAATCCCATTTCTCTAAACTTACTTTTAAAAAGCGAGTCATCATGCTTAAACCAAAAACAATCAGAATCCACTCCAAATCTGAAATAGAGAAATGTTCTGTGGGACAGAACTCCAAAAACAAACAAACAAAAATGAAGCTAACATGTGTGGTCATACAGAATATATTACTAAGGCCATAACAAAGATGTTGAAGCATTTAGAAAATATTAAAGTATATAGAAAATAGGGGGGAAAAGGCAGCAATTGACAACACCAGGATAACAAAGTACTATAGACAGGAGGGTCTAGTGAATCACTGTAATACTTATAAAGTTATAAAAAATGTAAATACTGACTACCTACTATTTTTAATTTGTATTATAACTATGTTGAGAGATGAAACAAAGGGCAATTCTAGGCAGGTGAACCGAAAGAGCAAACCCCTATCTCAGTGGGAAGGCATGCCATTTAGAAAAATGAAGATAGAGAAGAAATGGACTAGATATAGGTGTCTTTCAAGGGGCAGGACTAGGAAGCACACAGGTTTAAGCATTTTAGTGCCATATGATTTTTTCTTTGATGAAAATTAAAGAGATAAAAGCAAGGAGTATGAATACGCATTTTAAATTATATCCCGTTTTGACAATATGCATCATTTAAAAAAATATCCTCACTTAATATTTTAGATACTCCATACATGCTCCCTTTTGGTTCATTCATCCATTCATGTAATAATTACTAGATGGACTATTCCAATATGCCAGACACTGTATTATATATACTAATATAGAGTAACCTAAATGCGCTCTCTGCCCACAGGGTGGGCGTATTTTAGTAAAATTTATAAAATACAGGGTGCCCTGTATTTTAGTCAGCCTGCGGTTACATGATTTATGAGCAAGGTAACCACATACTTTACCATCATACACAGCAGGGCTTTAGGACTAAGTGACAGGTGCCAACAGATCTACAAGAGGAGTAAAATGGACTACGACAAGCAAACTGAGAAGTATAAGCACCTTACTTCTCAGCATCACAGAAGCATCCACATGGAAAGGTGCTAAGGGGCTAAGGGTCATCATGAGCACCCACAGCACTTCAACAAGATGTCCCGGAGCTACAGAGGAGAACGTACACCTCCAAATAGCTAACTCATTCACCGACACCCTAGTGGGGAAAGCTGCAATCCGTACTTTCTACATAAAAGTACCAAGTGAACAGGACAAAAATAATCCTGACTAGCTGAGGGGTCGACGTCCAACCTAAAGACAGGCTAATGTTGCCAGCAACCAAAAGATTATTTAAGCCATTACCTGTATAATCTTCTCTTTGTTTGTATTCCCTTTCTTACATTCTGTTTCCCCTTTCTACCAAAATATCGGTCTCAGTATCTAAAATAATAAGTACGCAAAGCTATCTATACCTGTTGTAGCCTACCCCAGCTATATACTTTGAAGTTAAAGGGTGATATTACTAGTAAACTTCCATAACTGGTCAATATATTTACAAGAAAAAGAATTAGAATTCCCAGTTGTTTCATATTAGTCCGACCAACTAAGTAAATTCCATCCCTGAGAAAATTCTGTAACCAAAACTTTACAGTACATTTACATGTGTAATTCAATTCAAATTCACAATTTGAATAAGTTCCAACTCACTCACTCTGGAAAACAACAAAACCTCCAACACTAAGGTAGATTTTTGGCCCAATTTTTCATTCATAAGTAAAAAGTCCATTTATGATGGTCAAGTATTATATCTCAGTTTATATTTTAGAGTTAAGCAATAATGGTAGAAAATTTTTAGGAAGACTCTACTAAAGATAAAAATTAAAAGCTACTTAAAATAGTTTAATAGACTTTAAAATTACCACAAAAAATAAAACTTCAGGTCATCTCTAGCCAAATTTTTCTGCCCCGCCCCCCCTAACATTTTCTACAGTTCGATGCTTAATGTTTTCTACTCCCTGAAAAGTCATTATCTTATTAGGCCATTATAACCTGAATTTTTAAGCTTATAGGTTACTTCTCCTAGATGTTTAGATTTCACCCAAAGAAAAATAAATAAATCAAGCCCTCTTATACTTGCCTATGTTAGGGATTAAGCAGCCACTAAACTTAGATAAAATTTTAAAACTAGTATAATTACCAGTTTTTAAATAAGCTAGGCATTTTTTTAAAAGATAATTTTTTGCTGGCCCATTCCCTCCTTCTCAAAAAAAAAAAAAAAAAAACTAAGCTAAAAAGAAAAGCTAAGATTAGCAAACTTAGAGTAGAAATAGATTGTGACTGTATCAAGATTAAACTGAGCTGCTGAAAGAAGTTTATTCTACTAAAACAAAAGGTCATTATCCCTATATCAGCATTTACCATTTCAAACAGAACTTCTGTACAAATACAGGATGGAGAAATAAAAAGCAACTATTCTAACAATATTATTTACAAATACTTTATTTCTTCTTACACTTTTCTAAGAAAAGCTTCTCATCAATGACCCTCATGTATCTGTCACAATCGTGCTGAGACAGCATCTACCTGACCAAATACAGGCAGCAAAACATGTTCATGAACACTCAGTTCACAGCCTTACAACTACACTTAATATTTTAAAACTATGTCTGAATTATAACATGTACAAACCTTCTTAATAAATAGTGCAAGTAAAGTGAGATGGCCTATTAAGACGATCTAAGAAACTCTAAGGTATCAACATTTTAGATATTATTTTTGGCACGTAAGTGAACAAATAATGTATAATCAAGGCTAGAAGCAAAGATACTGCTATAGATTTATGTTAACCCAGGTATTCCTTAGCATCTTAATGTCCTGGAAAAACCAACAGCATAGTATATTACTTATTAGGATGCACCACAGCATATTAAAAAGTGAGGCAAATCCAGAAAAACAAAGGAAATCAAATTATGCGGTATTACGCACCAGAAGCAAAAAGGGAGAAAAATGTGAAAACTATAGCACTGAAGTATATAAAAAAAGTTAAAATTACAGGTTAGCAAAAACAGTTAACTTGTAGAAAATGAACCAAATAACCTGTTAGTTGCCTTAATACCATATGAAAGTTTAAGCTGTCATACACGCAGGTTTGGAAAGTTACAAAATGAAGACATATTTTGAACTTAAAAAATAGCATGCATGTACAGTGACGTAAAAAGCATTCATCAGGAACATGAAATAATAAGCTATAATTCAACTGCCTTACCAAAAAAACCACAAAATATTAGTTAACTATCCTAAGGAGTAATAAAAATTAAGGACATATTATTCATAAATTGTTTCAAAGTTTTACAATATGATGGAAAACATTATCAATGTCAACTGAGAATGATAAAGAATTCTGATAACAGTCATTAACACGTAAAGGAAACTGTTCTAAATTGAGAAGACAATGGATATCTACACATACATATGTCTCTTATTTTAGAATAAGCAGATCAAAAAACATATCATTAAGGGATTTCTTAGTAAAAAAAGACAATGTGTTATTCTTAATTTATCAATATTTATTCATCACATCATTTCATATGCAAACTGAGAATTATTTGCAAATCTATACCAACCTCAAATAAAATGCCTCTTCTTATTAAAAATATTAAGTGTCTATAATTCTATAAACAACATTGTCTGGTATATACAAATAAATCTGATCTGACCCACAAAAAGCCAGCTCTGGTTTCAAACTTGGTTACAATGCCTCCATAAATTTGCAGGGAAATATATACAAAATTATTTCCATCCCAACAATTCTTAAAGGCAGAAAGGAAGGATAAATTGATTCCAAATAAGTGAAAGGTATAAGTAGTGATCTACTGTTAAAAAACACATACTATAAATGAAAAAGAAAGAGGGATGGGAGGATACGGCAATCCCCAAGCTAGTTTATTAGACTAAAGAGTATATTAAAAACTTCTCTGTACTTATCTTTAAAGTACACAACTTAAACACAACCAATTCACTTTCCATAGCTATCATACACATCAAATAAGAACTGAATAAAGAAAGATCCTTACCTGAATAACAGCACTAAACCAACAAGTATTGCCAACATTCTTTAGCCCAACGGGAGCTTTGTCCTGTCTTTTTCTATCATAAGGGTTTCGAGAATCCCTCCAAACTTCTGTAGGTGTCCTCTTCAAACATGCTTTATTCTCTGCTATGCTGGCTTCAAGAACTCTTAAGCAATGGTGGGAAAAAATGCAGCATTATATAATGGTATATCCCAGCCATACCACACATTTTAAAAGTACTTTCATTACATAAGATTTGAATAATGTATTTGAAGAAATAATATTTAATACTAACTTTACTCAAAGAGAGGTTTAGCAGTGTCAATGCTAATACATAGAGAAGTGTAGCCTTCCTTCCTAAGAAAAATGAAATTTCAAACATAAAATGGTCGTGTTATATAACAGTACAGTAAATCACATTTCAACAAGTCAGATGTTTAGTACCAGGAATATATAGCACCTAGATGGATTTTCTGAGAAATAACGATTAAAGCATGTATCTACAATGTAACATAATGACTTCTTATAACAATTACTCTGAATCAAGAAAACATTAAAAACTGAACAAGTTGCCCTTTTACCACTGACCACTTAGTTTTTCTACAAAAAAAAGTTAACTGAGTTAAACTTTATGATTCCTTTCAATTCTTGAGATCTATGTCCCTATGACAGCCAAGTAATGGAAAAGAAAACCTATAGTTCACTGCCTTGCCCAAAAGTTTGCCTTTGGGAAAAACTAATGAAATATTAGAATACATATTAGAATAACAAAAGATAGTTAACCTTTCCAAAATAAACTCACCTACGAATATCTTAAGCACATCTAAACCTGCGAAAGTAATGCTACTTGGCTTAATGATGTTTCTTGCTCCTGAGCACGCAACAACGCAACTATAATCGTAACTGGAAAACCCTGGTTCCCACATAGGATCTAACCAAGCATTCTGCCTGCTCAAGAAATGTGTTACTTGCTACTTGGCTTCAGCCAAAAAAAAAAGAAGAAAAAAAGAAACTTGTTACTTATTATTCTAAATCACCATAAACATCATTCAGGTATCTGAACCACTTTGTGTTAATTACCAGAACCTTAATTTTTTGGTTTATCAAGAAAATCTCATTCATTCTACACCATTTTTATCCTAAAGATTTTATCCTATCAGATTAATGTCAAAATAATATTATTTTATCCTTAACATCAATACTTACCACCAGACATTAGATACAATGAAATCTAAAATATCACTAAAATATCCCATGTGAATACAAAAGTCAGTCTTTGGGAATCAATAAAATACACATTTTTGAAAAACTGGTAACAACATGATATGTTAAAACGTAAACTCATGTAGTTAAAAGTAAACAGGTCACACTTCTGTCACACTTAAGAGTGACCCAACTGGGCAGCACTACTCTCTGCCCAAAAATCAACTCCCACAGGCAACGCCAGACTCGGCTTTTTTCACTAAAAGACACCAGAAGTTCTTGAAAGACATTTACTTAGATGAACTGGGGCAGAGGAAAACCAAGGAACATCTAGAACATTCTACGGTTACCAGGAAACAAGGTTTCAAGAATATAAGGGAGAGATAAAAAGAGAGTCAACTTGACTCTCCTACTGGAGACCTAGGAGGTCCTGAAGACCTTCTAACAGTTATTGCAGTTCGGCAGAATGATAATAACCAGAACAAATTGAATTTGTACAAGACTAGTTTATGCTCAAAAAGGAAAGGTTAATGTACAGTATATAAAATGTAACTGTAATACAAAAGACTGTGGTATATAGAGGGCATATTTAACTTTTTATTGACTTTTATAAATGGCAGTATTCTCATTTGGAAATTTTGCTCCTTTTGTAATATATATGTATATTTAGACATTTAGATACAGCCAACTTAATTTTATCTTGGTAGTCAGAGATAAACTAAAACATGGAGTAAGTTCTGGGAAAGGCAGATAAAAACGATACCATAAAACAAGTAGTACCAGTGATCCTACGTAAGAGATAGAAGAGGTACCCAGCAATTGACTAGTACCAGTGCAGATAGACAACAATTATGTAAAAAGAGGATTCTACAGCACAGTCTAAAATATAAACTGCTCAAAAGTCTAAAAGAACCAGACATAATCCTGAATCTATAGCATATGAACATCTGTCATTATATTTAACTACTAATTATACCAAGAAACAAATCCTTCTTAATAATGTCAACAGAGCAGATATAAGCAGGAAATGGTTCATATACACATTAGTTACAGAAAACTTGAGGACATCTGATTTCTGCACAATACACCCTAAGTATATTTTTCATATTCCAGATCTGGGCTAAGATTACTAAACCCCAGGAAGGTCTTCTGAAATGTTTTAAGTATAGTCAATTCCTTTATGCCCCTCTTCTGCTCTACCAAAAAATACACACCACTTGATTTGTATGTTTACATATAAAATATTTAATGAAACGTCACATTGATATATTGAGATAATGTAAGCTTTTTAGTTCCTTTGCCTTCTCTCTCCCCACACAGAACTTGCAAGAATGTGTGGCCTCAAATTTACTTCTAGGAGCAAGTAACGCCTGAACCATTTGTCACACCATTCCAAAAAGGAAGTTAGAAGGGCAAGAAAGTTAAGGATATGAACCAAGACAACATCTTCCCAGCACTCCTATACAACTTTCTTTACAGAGGTCAAATGAGGTACAAAGTGTAACAACTTTGATTAAAGTTCAAGAGATGCATGTAACGGCTCATTGCTCCTCAAAGTCACCTACGATCTAAAAATAATAACCATTCCCTAAGTAGCTCAATTCAGTCATATGGAAGATATCATCATTCACTGTAACAAAAGTACGGGTTTTTAAGAAACAGGTTTATCATAATACACCTTAACCAAACCACATGGTAGAATTATGGTGCAAAAAAAAATAATGTAGGTGAAAGGGGAATGCCATGATTTCATGACCCTCTTAATTTAAACAAATTTTATCACCAGAATTTTACAGCATGCCTCAGTAGGTTTCCTCCTACCATCTCCTCTTGGTTCCTAAAGAACTTAATAAACACACTTATCACTGTGCCAAAAATATTAACCAGTGTCTCCAATCAGTGTCTGAAAAGTAGAAACAATAATTTGCTTTACTGCTAGAGGGAACATTATATAATGAGGGATAAACACGTTTTTTAAGTAAATGGATGATTAAGATATTAAATGCTGCTACTTCTTGGTTACTGATTGACTCATTGTAAAAGTCAACCGCTAGCTCAAATACTGCTCTATTGCTACGCCTGATCCCCTTCTGTAATCTAGTACTGGCACCATAAATCCAAACTTTTTATAAAGCAAAATCCTGCATAAGGGTTCCTTCCCGGCCTTTCCAATGATACCACCCAAGTTCTTAAGTATAAGGCATGTAATAGCTAAAATCCAGTTATTACCAGCTGGTGGAGGAAAAAAAAAAATAGGTAAATCTCAGAGAGCTCAGAAATAGCCTATAACAAAATGTTTGAAGGGTAAACTCAGAAGCCACAAACCAAAAACCAGCCTGACCTATCACCTTGCTTTATCTTCTCAAAATTGGTCATGACCTTGGTATTAAGCAATATAAAAAGATGACAAAATGTTTTGCTGCCTCTTTTCCTTCCACACACTACACTAAATGTTTAAAGCATTTACATATGGTAGATGTTCATGTTTCCATTAAATTTTATTACACAATGGTTTTCTTTGGGGGGAAGACAGGGTGTTATTATTTTATCATTTTGTGTTGTTAAATTGCCTATAGCAGTAATACTGAACATATCCCACTTTATAGCTCACCTAAGCCCCTTTTTGGGAAGTATTACACTCACTGAGAAACAAGCATATACTTTAAGCTATATAGATCAACCAGAAAGAAAAAAAAGGGGGGGGGGAGACATCTCATTTGATTTCCTAAAAAAGCAAAAACAAAACTAAGGGTATTTTAATTGGGATCAAACTAAACCCATAAATCAATTTAAGAAGAACTGACCAGTTTGACGATGGTCAGTATTCCAATTCATGAAACAGCGTATGTTTGAAAATATTTATGTATTCTTTAATGTGTCTTAATGATGTTTAATCATTTTCTTCATGGACGTTCTTGTGTATTTCTTAGATTTACTCCAGGTAACAGTTTTTGTCAAAAATCAGTTGGCTGTAGGTGTGTCCATTTCTGGGCTATTCTGTTCCACTGGTCTATGTGTCTGTTTTTTACACCAATGTCATTGTTTTGCTTACTATATTCTAGCAGTATATTCGGAAGTCAGGTAGTGACACCTCTAGCTTTTGTTCCTTTTGTCAGGCTTGCTTTGGCTATTTGGGCTCTCTTGTGGTTCCATATGAATTTACGGGATTGTCTTTTCTAATTCTCTGAAGGGTCACTGGAATTTTGATACGGACTGCAGTAAGTCTGGAGATGACTTTAGGTAGTATGGCCACTTTAACAATATTAATTCTTCTAATCCATGAACATATGATGTATTTCCACTTGTTTGTGTCTTCTATTTCTTTGCTCAATGTTTTATAGTTTTCAGTGTAGAGATCTTTTATCTCTTTAAATTTATTCTTAGGGTATCTTGATTTTTTGTAGCTATTGTAAACGAAATTTTCTTAATTTTTCAAATAACTCATAATTAGCATATACAAGTGCTGATTTTTGTACATTAACTTTGTGTCCTACAACTTTACTGAATTCATTTATGAGTTCTAGCAGTTTTCTGGTCAACTCTTTAGGGTTTTCTATATTTAAGATCATATCATCTGAAAACAGATTACTTTCTCCTTTCCAATTTCGATGTCTTTTATTTCCTTCTCCTGCCTAACCGCTCAAATACTTCCATTACTATGTTGAATAGGATTGCTGGAAGTGTGCAGCTTTGTTAGGTTCTTGATCTTAATGGAAAAGCTTTCATTTTTTTCCCTATTCAGCATACTACTAGCTGTAGGTTTCTCAACTATGGTCTTTATTGTGTTGAGGTACATACTTTCTCTATCTATTTTGAGAGTTTTATCATGAATTATACATCAATAATTGTATCACAATAAATGATACATACATTTATTGATTTGTGTATGTTGAACCATCCCTGCATCTCTGGGATGAACCCTGATCACAGTGGATGACGTTTTTAATATGCTGTTGAACTGGG